CCATCGTTGACTCTGCAGCGGCTGCTTCTGTCCCTCCTGACCTACTTCTGAAATCACATACAGCAGTTGGTTTGTCCTGGGTCAGACCCGCTGCTCTCTGCATGCCCCTTTCATCAGGGACTTATCTAGATTTAGAGTGACCCACTCGGCTGCAGTACAAGATCTCAGCTCTGCTGGCTGGTCATGATGTGGAGGGACGAGAGTAAATCAGCTCTGAGTTCATCTAAATAAAGATGCAGTGGAAAAAAGTCAGACATCATTTGAAAATACAAAAAAAATAGTACTTGTATAGTTCTCTCTAACACAAGTGATGAGTGATGTCATAAATTAGGATTTAATAAGATGTAGGAGAGGATCGGTTACTATGGTGACTAAATAGAAACACTCCACTTCCTCACAAACTCTTATGGACAGAAATGTTTTAGATACACTGCTCTTGTTAGATGAAACCTAGATGTCGTAGGAATGTCTGGCACATGAAGTAAAATCAGTTTTCTCTCCTGCAGACTGGATCAGGGAAGACCTACACAATGGGAACAGGCTTTGACGTCAACATAGCAGAGGAGGAGCTGGGAATCATTCCTCGTGCTGTGCACCACCTCTTTAAAGGCATTGATGAGCGCCGTCAGGCGGCGCAGGAGCAGGGACGACCCGTACCAGAGTTTAAGATCAATGCTCAGTTTCTGGAGGTACACTCCCATCTCACATCATCTGTTTTTAAATAAACAAAGATAGCCAAACAAACCGGTGTCGGTTTAACCGTATCAGTGCCGGTCCTTCACAGAAAGGTCGGGGCAGAGCTACATTGTTGAAATGGGAGGATTAATAATCTGTGACAGTAGCCCTCTGTCATCGTAAAACATCCAGTTTGACAGTGGAAGTACAAGAGCTGTCCTCGTGGATTAGGAAGAGTTAGGTGGCTGCAGGGCTGGGGGAGGGGGTGAAGGGGAGGATTTCTGTCTGGTCAGGGTGAGTCAACAGGGATGACAGCTGTGATGGTGTATCAAACTCTGACAAGGTTCAAGTTCCTGGAGAAGACCTGGTAAAGGAAATGAGACATTTTGGGTATCAGCAAGGTGATGGTCCAGGTGGAGAGAGGTTGGTCCTGACTGGTCTACAGCTGCTGCCTCTGCAGAAGGTGCTAACTCATCCGATCCAACTCTCAGATAAAGGTTTCTGAGAGATTATGATGAACAGAAGTCACTGCAAGCACAACTAATGCACACTAACCACCGACACATTAGTCACGATGAGTTGGCATATGCAGGGTATGAAAATCTATACTTCCAAGATAGTTTTCTTTGTAAAATATCTGAACATCACAAACGTCTGAGTTGGCTAAACTACCTGGAGCTGAGCAACTAAGTGAGACTTGACTTTCAGGCTACTCAAAGTTTCACATTGATCAGTCGTTGCAGTTTGGAGTTTTAGTTTAGAAGCACAGAATAAAACAAGAGCTCACTGGAATGACCATTTACCTAAAGCAACACGTAGTAGGTTTGCTGCTTGTCCCTCCTCCTAGCTGAAGGCAGAATTGGAGCATAAACCAGCCGTGGTCTGCTGTGGCTGACAACGAGCTGAAGCTAACATGAACCAGCGCATACAAGATAAGTCCATCTTTCAGTTCTTTTTAAAACACAGAAAAGGTTTAATTACCTGCTACATTTCGTTTGCATCTGCAGACTTCCTCAGGCTGACGCTGATGGTGGCGTCACTTCCTTCTCCGTTTATCTGCGGGCAGCAGAGGACGTTGTCGCCCTCTGCTGCCCGCTCTCCCCTCTCCGACGATGCAGTCCCATGCGTGGTCCAGCGTGTAAACTCCATCGTCCCTGTTCATGGTCCCACATCCACGTCTCCTTATCTCGATTGCTTCTTTTATCCATCTTTTGTATTTTTGTTGTTCAGTGGTTATGATCCTTGTGTTGTCCCAGTCCATTACATGGTTTTCTCTTGTGCAGTGATCTGTTACGGCTGACTTCTTTATTGTGCTTTCTGCTTCTTCTTTTGCTGCTCTTGTGTGTTTTCCACTTGTTTCTTTCTCACACTCCTTTCTGTGTTCTATTGTTCGTGTGTTGAGTTGGTGTCCGGTTTCTCCTATGTATGTTTTACTGCAGAGTTAGCATGGGATTTCGTAAACGACTCCACATTTAAGTCCAGCTGATATTTTGTCTTTTGGGTGTACTAGTCTGTTTCTAACTGTTGTGTATGGTTTTGTTGGTGTGTTTATGTTGTGTTTTTTCATTGTTGCTCTTATTTTTTCTGTTATGCCTCTGATGTATGGTAGGGTTATCACTGGTTTTGGTTCTTGTCTTTCTGGGTTTCTGGTTCTTTGCTTAGGTTGTTCTTTTCTTTCTGTTTTTGTTTGTTGTTTTCCTTTGTTTATTGCCCATGTCGGGTATGCGCAGGTCTTTAAAGCGTGTTGTATGTGTTTGTCCTCTTGTTTACGGTCTCTCTCTTCTGTTATTATGTTTGCTCGGTGATATAATGTTCTGATTACTGACATTTTGTGTATGGTGGGGAGTTCTGATGTCCATAATAGATATTGGTCTGTTTGTGTTGGTTTCCTGTATGTGTTTATGTTTAGGGTCCCGTCGGTCTGTCTGGTGATTTTCATATCCATAAAAGCTATGCTGCCTTCTGTTTCTAACTCATAAGTGAATTTTATGTTGCCCGTGTCGTCAATGTTGTTTAAGTGTTGTGTTAGTATTTCTGTTTGACCGTTGGGTATGATCTCCAGTATGTCGTCTACTTAGCGTTTCCATAGTTTTATTTTGCAGTTTGGGGGGGGGGCAGTGGCTATGGCTTTTGCTTTTTGTTCCAGGTCTTCCATGAAAAACTGTCACAGGGTGGCTGATAACAGGTTACCCATGGCGAAGCCTTCCAGTTGTTTGTATATTATGTCATTGTATGTGAAGTAAGTGGAGTTAGCTACCAGTCCTATCAGCTGTGCTATGTAGAACACAGAAAGGAGTGCGAGAAAGAAACAAGTGGAAAACACACAAGAGCAGCAAAAGAAGAAGCAGAAAGCACAATAAAGAAGTCAGCCGTAACAGATCACTGCACAAGAGAAAACCATATAATGGACTGGGACAACACACGGATCATAACCACTGAACAACAAAAATACAAAAGATGGATCAAGGAAGCAATCGAGATAAGGAGACGTGGATGTGGGACCATGAACAGGGACGATGGAGTTTACACGCTGGACCACGCATGGGACTGCATCATCGGAGAGGGGAGAGCGGGCAGCAGAGGGCGACAACGTCCTCTGCTGCCCGCAGATAAACGGAGAAGGAAGTGACGCCACCATCAGCGTCAGCCTGAGGAAGTCTGCAGCCGCAGACGAAATGTTACAGATAATTAAACCTTTTCTGTGTTTTAAAAAGAACTGAAAGATGGAATTAGAATTTCAACACAGCAAAGATGTTTAAAGAATGATACAAAATAAGATTCAAAGTGTCTTCTTCTGCTGCTCTTCTTCTGCTTTTCTCCTCCTCCTCCTCCTTCTTCTGCTCTCCTCTTCTTCTTCCTCCTCCTCCTTCTTCTTCTTCTTCTTCTCCTTCTCCCCCTTCTTCTCCTCCTTCTCCTTCTTCTTCTCCTTCTCCTCCTTCTTCTGCTCTCCTCCTCTTCCTCCTCCTCCTTCTTCTTCTTCTTCTTCTTCTTCTTCTTCTTCTCCTTCTCCCCCTTCTTCTCCTCCTTCTCCTTCTTCTTCTCCTTCTCCTCCTTCTTCTGCTCTCCTCCTCTTCCTCCTCCTCCTCCTTCTTCTTCTTCTTCTTCTCTTCCTCCTCCTCCTCCTTCTTCTTCTGCTGCTCTTCCTCTGCTTTTCTCCTCCTTCTTCTTCTGCTCTTCTCCTCCTCCTCTTCCTCCTCCTTCTTCTCCTTCTTCTTCTGCTGCTCTTCTTCCTCCTCCTCCTTCTTCTTCTTCTTCTCCTTCTCCCCCTTCTTCTTCTCCTCCTCTTCCTCCTCCTCCTTCTTCTTCTCCTTCTCCTCCTCTTCTTCTGCTGCTCTTCCTCTGCTTTTCTCCTCCTTCTTCTTCTGCTCTCCTCCTCTTCTTCCTCCTCCTCCTCCTCCTCCTCCTTCTTCTTCTTCTTCTTCTTCTTCTCCTTCTCCCCCTTCTTCTCCTCCTCCTTCTTCTTCTCCTTCTCCTCCTTCTTCTGCTCTCCTCTTCTTCCTCCTCCTCCTCCTTCTTCTTCTTCTCCTTCTCCTCCTCCTTCTTCTTCTGCTGCTCTTCCTCTGCTTTTCTCCTCCTTCTTCTTCTGGTCTTCTCCTCCTCTTCCTCCTCCTCCTTCTTCTTCTTCTTCTTCTTCTTCTTCTTCTCCTTCTCCCCCTTCTTCTCCTCCTCCTTCTTCTTCTCCTTCTCCTCCTTCTTCTGCTCTCCTCCTCTTCTTCCTCCTCCTCCTCCTCCTCCTCCTTCTTCTTCTTCTTCTTCTTCTTCTTCTCCTTCTCCCCCTTCTTCTCCTCCTCCTTCTTCTTCTCCTTCTCCTCCTTCTTCTGCTCTCCTCTTCTTCCTCCTCCTCCTCCTTCTTCTTCTCCTTCTCCTCCTCCTTCTTCTTCTGCTGCTCTTCCTCTGCTTTTCTCCTCCTTCTTCTTCTGGTCTTCTCCTCCTCTTCCTCCTCCTCCTTCTTCTTCTTCTTCTTCTTCTTCTTCTTCTTCTTCATATGACCTATTGATACAGTAAACAGATATTGCTATAAAGCTGATAGAGACCTCTCACTAGTCCACCTACACAAGCCACAGAAGTGAGGATTTTGGTCAGCAGAGGGCCACAGATTGCGGTCCAGTGTGAGGTAGCACAAGTTCCTGGCTGAAGAACCACTGAAACCAGTTGGAAAACAACAGCTTTGTCATGAGTCGGGGTGAGTACTCTGCCCATCATCTCATCATCTCTGAGGTTTTTTGCCTGCAGGAGAGGGAGCGCAGCTGATCCGAATCAGACTGATCAGTGGGGCGGCTTTAAAAGGAGGAGGAATATCCTCATTCGACGCTGGATGATTATCTACTGCCTGACTTACCATCGTTGGATCCGTTCCCGTCTCCAAACCTTAGGAATATTCACCGGTTCGCTGCCTGGATTACGTCTCCACCCAGCCGCCCCGCTCTCCACCGATTACGCTCTCTCTCCTCTGCCTCATCTTCATCCACCTCGTCAGCTCAGCTCATCCACCCCGATATCACAAGTCTTCTCTGGATATCACCCCGGCTCATCTCCCCTCCGCATTCATCCCGGACTTCCTCATCGTAAGTTCCGCCCACAAACAATTCCTCCGAACTACAATTCCCATTACTCACCTCTGGTCTTCCCCCTAGTTACCGCTTCCGGACTCGTCCTCCCGTTGGATCTTCAGAACACCTTCAGTTCACATCCACATTTTAATAAATTATTGTTCTTCCTTTACATCATCTCCGTGCTTGATTCTGTATGTCTTGGGTTAGACATCTTCCTCAAAACATGACAGAATCATCCAGCCAAAACGCTAACCCTACAGAATCGGCACTCATTAACATTTCACAGAGATTGACCCAACAGGAACAGACCCTTCCGCTATTAATGGAACAACTTTCAGCATCTAATCAACGCTATACACAGTTGGAAGCCCTGGTCCGCCAGATACATGAATCTCTTTCCCAGCCTCACCAACCACCTCCACCAGTAGGACCTTCCGCTGCCGTCTCCGAAGCCACTGGACCTCCGCGATCGGAGGAGGCTCCCCCCATGGAGAACTCCCATTTCCGTGTCGCTCCTTCACCACCATCTGTGACCTTTGGGGGTGAGTTTGAGGAATGTTATAGCTTCATTTTGCAATGTAAATTGGCTTTCGAACGTTGCCCTGCAGCCTTCTCCTCAGATTCAGCCAAGATTTCATATGTTGTGGGTCTTCTGCGTGGAAGGGCTCTTAGGTGGGCTGAAGCAAGGAGCCATAATGACTTGTTCTTAAATGGGTCATTTAATGACTTCCTAACGGAACTAAAACTCACTTTTGGCTGTTATGAGTCCTCCTCAGACATCAATAAAAGACTTTTGAAGCTTTCTCAGGGAAGAAAGACAGTGGCGGACTTGGCGGTGGATTTCCGTATATTGGCAGCCCGGACCACCTGGAATGATGATGCCCTCATTGGTGCCTTCACCGAGGCACTAAATGATAAGGTGAGGGACCAGTTGGCCTTATGTCCTGAACCTAGCTCTCTGGATGAACTCATCAGGCTGGCCATATCAATAGACAAACGCCAACGGGAGTTAAGAAGACATGAGCCCGAGCCCCCAGTTTTTCCTGCTCGAGAACGTCATTCTAAGATTTCTGGACGACCTGTTTCGGAACCCCCTTCCTCTGAGGAACCCATGCAGATGGGAAGGACACGGCTCACCCCAGAGGAGAGGGAGTACCGACAGAAGTCGGGTCTATGCATGTACTGTGGAACCGCTGGGCATTTTGTCAATAGCTGCCCTGCTCTGTTAAAAGGCAGAGCCCGCCATTAACGCTGGGACTAATGGTGGGCAGTAACTCTTCTATCGGTTCCCGGTGTTTCTTTCCCTGTGTGCTATCTGTTCCTTCCAGACAGATTACTGTTGAGGCACTATTGGATTCTGGATGTGAACAATCGCTCCTGGACCCCCACCTCGTGGAACGATGGAAAATACCCACCACCAAGCTGTCTACACCTCTCTCAGTGTCTTCACTCGATAACCGTAATCTGTCCACCATCACCCACCAGACTGTTCCACTTCACCTGCGGGTTTCAGGTAACCACACTGAGACGTTTACTTTTTATGTGTTTCCCTCTCCTCAGTCCCCCTTAGTATTGGGACATTCCTGGTTGGTCCGTCATAATCCCACAATGGACTGGAAGGAGAACAAGATTCTTGGGTGGAGCCCGGAGTGTTCTCTACTCTGCCTGCGCTCGGCCTCACCTACCGCTCGTGATCACCCTCCTCCTCCCTTGGAAAACATAGACCTGTCTACGGTTCCACCGGTTTACCACGACCTTAAGCAGGTATTCAGTAAAGACCGTGCTTCTTCTCTGCCTCCCCACAGGCCATTCGACTGTGCAATAGACCTCCTGCCTGGAGCTCCCTTACCATCAAGTCGTCTGTACCACCTGTCAAAACCTGAAAGTGAGAGTATGGAACAGTACATACAAGATTGTCTGGCAGCAGGCACCATTCGTCCTTCTTCATCTCCTCTGGGTGCAGGGTTCTTCTTCGTTCCAAAAAAAGAAGGCAGCCTCAGGCCATGCATTGATTACAGGGGTTTAAACCAGATCACAGTCCGTAATAAATATCCTCTGCCATTACTCTCCTCCACCTTTGAACCCATCCAGGACTCCACCATTTTCAGCCGTCTGGACCTCCGTAACGCCTGTCACCTGGTGAGGATAAGAGAAGGAGATGAGTGGAAGACAGCATTCAAGACACCCCTTGGTCACTTCGAATATCTGGTAATGCCTTTTGGACTCACTAATGCCCCCGCTGTCTTCCAGTCCCTGGTGAACTCAGTACTTGGTGACTTTCTAAACCGGTTTGTGACAGTGTATCTAGATGATATATTGATCTTCTCTCAGAACCAGGAACAGCACATCCAACATGTGAGGGCGGTGTTACAACGATTGCTGGAGAACCGTCTCTACGTTAAGGCAGAAAAATGTGAGTTTCATGTCTCCACAGTAAAGTTCTTGGGATTCATTATTGAGAGCGGCCGGCTAAAGGCAGATCCAGAAAAGGTGCAGGCAGTCACCGAATGGCCCACACCCACCACCAGAAAGCAACTGCAGAGGTTCCTTGGTTTTTCTAATTTCTACCGTCGCTTTATCAAAAACTACAGTCAGACTGCAGCTCCTCTAACCAATCTGACCTCCATTAACAAGCCCTTTGTGTGGTCCTCCAAGGCTGAGTCAGCATTCAAAGAACTCAAGAACAAATTCACTAACGCCCCTGTGCAACACCGTCCTGACCCACAGCGCCAGTTCATTTTGGAGGTTGATGCTTCTGACACCGGGGTCGGGGCAGTTCTCTCACAAGTGGCGGAGGGGGATGGGAAGCTTCACCCTTGCGCCTACTTCTCCCGTCGTCTAACCCCGGCTGAGAGTAGATATGACGTCGGCGACCGCGAACTACTTGCAGTAAAACTAGCGATCGAAGAGTGGAGACATTGGTTGGAGGGAGCAGAGAACCCCTTTCTCATATGGACAGACCATAAGAACCTCATCTACCTGAAAGAGGCCAAACAGTTGAACCCCCGTCAGTACTGCTGGTCCCTTTTCTTCTCTCGCTTTAACTTCCAACTATCATACAGACCTGGTTCCAAAAACACCAAACCCGATGCCCTCTCCAGGCAATACGCTTTAGATCGAGAGGTTGAACCTGCCACTGTTCTTCCTCCAAACCGTATCATAGGTGGAGTCACGTGGGAGATACGCGATCAGGTCCTGGAGGCCCTCAAAACCGACCCCGGACCAAATACCGGTCCCCCAGGAAGATTGTACGTACCCCAACCACTCAGAGGCAAGGTAATCCACTGGGCACATACAGGCAGGTTCTCCCTGCATCCAGGAGTGGGAAGGACGGTGGCCCTCATTAAGAGGTCGTTTTGGTGGGCATCCATGTACAGAGATACTAAAGACTATGTTTCTGGATGTCATACCTGTTCTCAACAGAAGGGGGTCCATCGTCCTCCGGCAGGTCTTTTACAACCTCTGCCCATCCCTTCACGTCCTTGGTCCCACATTGCCCTGGATTTCGTTTGTGGTCTTCCCAGTTCTCGTGGCTTCACGGTCGTTCTCACGATTATTGATCGTTTCTCCAAAGCATGTCACCTTGTCCCTCTTAAATCTCTCCCTTCCTCTGCAGACACAGCGCAGCTCCTGGTTAAACATGTCTTTCGCCTCCATGGAATTCCTGAAGAGATCCTGTCAGATCGTGGCCCACAGTTTGTGTCTCGTGTATGGAAGGAATTCGCAGAGGCCCTTGGAGCTCGGGTGGCGCTCACCTCTGGACACCACCCTCAAACGAATGGTCAATGCGAGCGCATGAACCAGGAGCTCGGTGCCATGCTGCGCTGTGTCTGCTCTACACACCCTTCCTCCTGGAGCACGCATCTACCATGGGTCGAATACGCACACAACAGCCACGTTTCCACCGCTACAGGTCAGTCACCTTTTGAGTCTTCCCTTGGCTATCAACCCTCTCTATTTCCCCAGCAGTCCCCGGTGTCCTCCTCCGTTCCCCATTTTCTTCGTGGGGCTCGAAGGGCCTGGGTCTCTACCAGAGCGGCTCTTGACCGTACGGCCCGGCGCAACAAACAACTGGCGGATCGCCGGCGGCGTCCGGCACCCGTCTACCTGCCTGGCCAGTCTGTGTGGTTGTCCTCCAAGGATATACCTCTTAAGGCCTCTACCCGCAAGCTGTCCCCTCGATTCATAGGACCGTTTAAGATCCTCAACGTCCCTTCGTCCACCACGGTTCGTCTGGACCTTCCCTCTTCTCTCCGTGTTCACCCTGTGTTCCATGTTTCCATGGTGAAACCTGTTGTTTCCAGTCCCCTCTGTCCTTCTCCTCCCCCTCCTCCTCCTGCTCGCCTCTACAAGGGGGGTTTGGTTTACACAGTCCGCAAGATCCTGGCCTCTCGTCGTCGGGGGCGTGGTATCCAGTACCTCATCGACTGGGAGGGGTACGGTCCGGAGGAGCGTTCCTGGGTGCCTGGTTCCTTCATTGAGGATCCTTCCCTCATCCGGGAGTTTGAAGCTGCCTCCGCTGGGACGCCGGGAGGCGTCCGTTGAGGGGGGGGTACTGTCATGAGTCGGGGTGAGTACTCTGCCCATCATCTCATCATCTCTGAGGTTTTTTGCCTGCAGGAGAGGGAGCGCAGCTGATCCGAATCAGACTGATCAGTGGGGCGGCTTTAAAAGGAGGAGGAATATCCTCATTCGACGCTGGATGATTATCTACTGCCTGACTTACCATCGTTGGATCCGTTCCCGTCTCCAAACCTTAGGAATATTCACCGGTTCGCTGCCTGGATTACGTCTCCACCCAGCCGCCCCGCTCTCCACCGATTACGCTCTCTCTCCTCTGCCTCATCTTCATCCACCTCGTCAGCTCAGCTCATCCACCCCGATATCACAAGTCTTCTCTGGATATCACCCCGGCTCATCTCCCCTCCGCATTCATCCCGGACTTCCTCATCGTAAGTTCCGCCCACAAACAATTCCTCCGAACTACAATTCCCATTACTCACCTCTGGTCTTCCCCCTAGTTACCGCTTCCGGACTCGTCCTCCCGTTGGATCTTCAGAACACCTTCAGTTCACATCCACATTTTAATAAATTATTGTTCTTCCTTTACATCATCTCCGTGCTTGATTCTGTATGTCTTGGGTTAGACATCTTCCTCAAAACATGACAAGCTTTAGTGTTGAACACAGTTGCTTTAAGATTCCTGTGAGTTTGGAAAATGTAAATCTTGATTTAAAGTGATGTATAAATAATTTCCTCGCTGCCTTCTTCTAGCTTTATAATGAAGAAGTTCTGGACCTGTTTGACTCAGCACGAGACATGAAGCAGAAGTCTCACATAAAAATTCATGAAGACGCCAGTGGAGGGATCTATACAGTAGGAGTGACCACACGCACCGTATCCTCAGAGGCTGAGGTAAACACAACAAGCACATCACGTCTGCACCTAGAAACGTTTTTTACCTGTAAGGATAGAGGAAGTCAAATGTTCATTCTGGGTCAGTAGATTGTTATTATTATAATATCGCTTGTCTGCCTTCTCAGATGATGCAGTGCCTAAAGCTGGGAGCTCTTTCTCGCACAACAGCTAGCACGCAGATGAACGTCCAGAGCTCTCGATCCCACGCCATCTTCACCATCCACCTGTGCCAAGTCCGCGTCTGTGCCTCTGACAATGTTGGTGCACTGTGAGATTTTTATTTACAACAACCACAGTGTTGGTTAAACCTGTGAAATGTGAAAAGCTTCAAGCAAATGTTTGACTTTAATCACGACTTTTATTTGTAATTTTCTATCAGCAAGAAAGTGAGAATGAGAACGACAACAAGGTGTCCAATGGGAACTCTGAGATGGACGAGTACGAGACCTTGACTGCCAAGTTTCACTTTGTGGACCTGGCTGGTTCTGAGCGACTGAAGAGGACTGGAGCCACTGGTGACCGAGCCAAGGAGGGAATCTCCATCAACTGTGGACTGGTGAGCTTCTCTGTTGGGATTCGCTCCAGCAGAAACTCGTGTTGGTTTTCAAAAAGTGTTTTTGGATCGTTTTGTCAGATGTTTCTATGGTTACAACCATTTCAGGAATTTCAAAGGCTTTTATTTAGTTACAGTAGAAAGCAGATGTTTACTTCATGAAAAGAAACAACCATGTTTCTTCACTGTCAGACATGAAATCAGATGAAACCTGTTAGTTGGTTAGAGGTTCATCTCAAACACTTTGCTCCTGAAACCGAACAACTTTGGTTCGTCACTGAGGTTAGGTCAAACACCAAGGGCTGGCAGGTCCTTCTCGGGAAGGAGATAGATTGTGTTTTTTACAGATGAACACACTGTGGCAAACACCAGAACATAACCAGAAGATACTGTGAAGATGCAGGCTGAAGCTGGAGTCATTTTCTTCAGTGAAACCAGTCCTGTAGCAACGTGGCCATCTCCAAACACAACACAAAGCAACAAGGTGACAGCATCATGCTGTGGGGGCGTTTTACCGGACGAAGCTGGTGTTTTCTCCCACAGTCAGTGGGCGAGAGGTGTGGGACTTCTGGTCTTTTTAACACAGCGAATGTAAAACATGGTTTCAGCGTTAGGTTTGGTTATGATTCATCAGGGTTTGATGTTGAATCTGTAGCAGCCTGTGCAAAATGACCGTGGTTATCAGAGGAAGCATTCATTTGGGTGCACTCGCATCAGCTCACCACTACTAGAGTTATACTGCCATCTAGTGGCTGAGTCTGATGAACGTCTGCAGCTGCGTTTGAATTTTAAATCTGAATGATTTTTCAGCCTCTAACAAACAGGAAGCCATTTCTGCCAACAATTTATCAATAATTGATTATAGATTCTGAAAAGTAAATGGAAATCATTTTACTTCAGTGTATTTTTCCTGTTTCTCTTACATATTAGAGGTTTTAGGTTGAGGAATTATTGAACATAACTTAGTAATGAGTAAGTGTGGAGGTGATTTTGAACCTTCTAAACTAATTTGGCTGTTTGTCCATCCCTGTTTCAGCTTGCTCTGGGGAATGTGATCAGTGCTCTGGGTGACCGGAGCAAGCGGGCGTCTCATGTGCCTTACAGAGACTCAAAACTCACCCGGCTGCTGCAGGACTCGCTGGGAGGAAACAGGTAACAGATGAGCTCCTCTGTCACTTTACAAAAGGAATGCAGATGATGATGTTATATTTTAATAACACATTTTTCATATAAATGATAATGGCAGTCTTTATAAAAACGATTATGCAGCTTTTTATTTTTCTCCTTTTTTAACATGTTTCAGCCAAACAGTGATGATTGCGTGCATTAGTCCATCTGATCGTGACTTTATGGAAACACTGAACACTCTGAAGTACGCCAACCGAGCTCGCAACATAAAGAACAAAGTGATGGTGAACCAGGACAAGGCCAGCCAGCAGATCAGCGCTCTGAGGACGGAGATCGCTCGGCTGCAAATGGAGCTGATGGAGTACAAGACGGTGAGGGTGGGGCTAGGTCAGCCTGATGAAATTAGCTTTTCATGTTAGATTAAGTTTTCTAAAGTATGCTTTCAGATGATAAATCTCCCCTTCTCCCATATGGTTGAAAGTGGAATGAAACTGTCCCAGAAGCTGCCGTAGCTAGCGCTAATGATGAGCTAATGCTAACACTAGCCAACTAATACTAAATAAGCCATGAATTAAAAAGATTCGCACTGTTTACTTCTTCTCCTTTTTCTTTTTTTCTTCATTTTCTGTATGTTTTTTTGTTCCTTTTTTCTTTTTCTTCTTGTCCTTCTTGTTTATTCTTCTTGTGCTTTTTATTGGCGGTCGGTAAACTGCCTAAATATGAGCTACCAGCACAGAGAGCCTAAGTCTCCTCCATTTCCAGTCGGCTCAAAAAAGCCAGACGGGGGTGGTGGGGTAACCCTCATGTCCATGCTGTCTCTGGAGGAGCAGATAGGAAACAAGACCTCCTGTAACTTAAAATGAACCAAAGCTTCCTCCCAGTTTCTCTTTAAGCTGAATTTAACATCAGTTTATCTTCATGAAACAAAAGAATAAAGTGGAACAACAACTTCTATCTTCTATTTCTCTCTCCTTTTAACTTCTCCGTGTCCCTAAATAAAAGAGACACATGATCACGCTGCAGCCACCGTCACTCTCTTTCCCCAAGACCGGACCTCCCGACATCACAACACTCGGTCTGACTGAGCGCTTCCAGGAGAAACAATAATGAAATAATTAGAATAATAACGCGTTTGGAGGAGCGTCCTCCGATCCTCTCTCTCTCAGTCGCTGATCGAGCAAGCAGAGCGCCGCGTGACAACCCGCTCAATTAACATAATTTACAGCCCAAATCCAACAGAACCAGTCGGGCTGATTCGATTCGGGTTCGTATAAATCCAGCGCCCAGCCCTGCAGTTCCACATAAAGGCAGATCAAAGTTTTCTACCCGGTAAATGTGGAGAACACTGCTCTGACAGATGTGGATGCTGCGCTGGTGCCGCTGTTATAATAACACAACTACATTCCACTATAACCGATTATGGTTCTCTTCTATGATGCAGAAACGTTTATGCCCGCATCTCGATGCACTGATTATTTGATTATTTTCCTCAGCTCTATCCTACACCTCCTGGTCGGCCTTCGGGGGTGGGGGGTGCGCGTGGGGTTTGGGGGCCACAAAGAGAGGGCTTGCAGGCCTGACGCGGCCTGCGGGCTGCCAGTTGAGTATCGCTGCCATTAAGCAAGTAGAGACCTCCCACTAGCGTACCTGCCCAAACCACAAAACGGTTAAGAGCGGTTTCTGGTCAGCAGAGGGCAACAGAGTGCTGTCCAATGTGGAGAGGCTCGAGTTTCTTAACTCTTTAGAGTTGCTTTTAAAATGGTGTGTAATAAGTAAGTAGTCATCTCAGGGCTGGACTGGGACAAAAATTCAGCCTGGGCATTTTGACTGGAGACCGGCCCATCACCTGGTTTTTTTGGAAAAGACATTAAGCCTTACGCTGTTTCTGACACACACCAACGTACACTTTCTTGTTGGTAATATTTATTTATCAATCTAATAAACGTAAACCTACACCATCCTTCCTATCCTGGTATTCTAAAAAGTACTTAGTAAAAAGTAAAAAAGACCACTTGATTAAGGTAACACCCCAACAATCTCTAACACTTGGTAGAAACATGACATTAAAACAGAGAACTATTAATCAATAATGAATATTAATATAAAAAAAGACATTTATGGAAATTTCCATAAACTGTTTTATCACCACACCAACAAGGAAATATTTTTACAATACATTTAAAAAAGAAAGTAGACAGAGAAAGGTGAGATAAAATAACTTAATTGACCATTTGAGGTCTTTTTAGAGATCGTACAGGTGCAGTATCTAGAAAATGTGGGGAAAATGCTGACATCATACACAGTATTTACTTCTGTAACTATTTGTTAATATGTTGTTAATACGAGTTGCAGTATTTATAGCTATCTTGTTAGGGTGTGTAATTGTTGGACGGAATCTTTAACAAAACACACAATAATTTTTTTTTTGTGTATGATTGTGTGCATTTAGAATATCTATATTAAAGTCTCCACAAACACTAACTTATGATTATTTGTATTTAATGATACTGTACATTTCTGAAAAACAATTCATATTAATAATTAATTATGAAATATTTTGTTTACAAATGAAATTTTTACCTTCTTGACTAAATATTTAACATCCAAACTAAATATTTAACTTTTTAACTAAATACTTTGATTACAAACTAAATATTTGCCTTCTTAAATATATATATATAGCATCCAAACGAAATATTTAACTATTTAACTACATATTTTGTTTACAAACCCAATATGTATCTTCTCCAGGGCCGTGCAGAGACCTTTGATGGGGCGGGTGCTCAAAGTAAAAAAAAAAAAAAAAAAAAGGGGCACTTATAGAGCAATCCAATAAGTTAGAAAATTCAGATAATGAGACCCTTGGGTTCAAACAACATAATAAAAATATATAAATTAGTGTCATTAGTGTTAATGTTAGTTCATAAATAATAGTTTTAGTTTATATAGCTGACTTATATCTAGAGATGTTACAACCACATTTTTGCCCCTGATCCAAGTCCAAGTTGTTGGATTATCTTCCAATACTGAGTCCTGTTCTGATACCAGGTGGTGATGCAACGCATTATAAAAGAAGAAAGAAGTCGTCCTTCTGTCTGTATTTGTCATTTTGTTATTTTAGCCTGAAAAGGTCACTCATTCAGGAAGTACATTTAACAGAAATCAAGATACTTTATTGCTATTGCACAGGTGTACAACCAAAGATATGTTGTGCTTACTAAAGACAGCTCTAGTAAGAGGTAGTAAAATAAATGTAAAATAAATGCAACCACAGAGACTTATCCAGTGTGATCTACAGCTATGTTAGCTGAGATCTTTTTCCTGTCAGTAGAAAATTCTTGATCCCATTCCATGATCTCACTGAACTTAACACTAAACATGAGAGCTCTGCTACCAACCTAACAACAACACCCTTTACACAAAGGCACCATCATCACATACGTGGCAGGAGTCTCAGAGAAACTTAGAAGAATCTTCTCCAAACACAACATCCCGGTAAACTTTAAACCCAACAGCACCCTCAGACAGAACCTGGTCCATCCAGAAGACAAAACACCCAAACAGAAGCTCAGTGGCCTAGTGGTAGAGTGTCCGCCCTGAGACTGGGAGATCAGGGTTAGATTCCTGGTCGGGTCATACCAAAGACTTTGAAAAAATGGGACCCAATGCCTCCCTGCTTGACACTCAGCAATAAGGGGTTGGATTGGGGGGTTAAACCACCAAATGGTTCCCGAGCGCGGCTGTGTCTGCAGCTCACCGCTCCCCCAGGGGATGGGTCAAATGCGGAGAACAAATTTCGCACACACATCAGTGTGTGAGACAACTATTGGGACTTTGACTTTAACTTTATGCAGTCCAGTGTAGGAGCACTGTCCAGATGTTTACATTAGAGAAACTAAACAACAATTACACAAGAACATAACACAACACAGGAGAGCCACCTCTTCAGGTCAGAACTCTGCAGTCCACCTCCACCTGAAGGACAAGGGACACACCTTTGAAGATGACAAAGTCCACATTCTGGACAGAGAAGATAGATGGGGAGAGGAGTAAACGAAGCTATCTATGTCAAACGTGAAAACTCCACTTTAAATAGGAGAGGGGCTTCGATTTCACCTTTCCAGTACCAACAATGCAGCTTTGGATCTCATTCAGTTTCAGTCTGGTTTTAGAAAACCAGAACAAGGACCAAGAGGACCAACAGCGTTGTTTAAAAGATTAGAACTTTTTTTTGAATCTCATTCAGTTTCAGTCTAGGTCACATCTTCCTGCATCTAATCAACACGATGACTCACCATCAATAGAGGCTAACGACTCATCAGGAGATGGAGAGGTGGGGTACTCAGAGTAGTTTCTGCTCTTTAAATAACAACAGACAGCTACAGCTTATGAGCTTGACTCTCCCATATTCCAGTTAGAACTGACAAAGCTCCTCAGAGGAGAAGTGAAATGTTTTAAAGAAACCAAAGAAGTCCAGTTGCCTTCATCTGAACTCTTTGGAGTAATAGTCAATAATAAAAAATACATAATAAAGTAATAAAACGTATATAATTATGCTCACATTCACTTTTACCATCTCTTTGTGGGAGGCGGAAAATTTATCACGGTTAACCCTCTTATGACCATAAATATAACAAGTATTTTTTTGTTTTTGTTTTATGGCTTTAAAATTGTAATAAAAGTGTAAAATATTTGTAACTCTGCTCCTTTTTTTCAGAACAACCTCAGCTTTCAGTGTCTGGTTTGTATTTGTGTTTATGTTTATTAAATTCTGTAAAACTGCAGCTTAAATGAAAAAAAAAAACAGATTTGAAATTTCTTTACATTTATTACTAAACAGGAACTTCAAAATGACGAGCAAACTATGTCAGAAGAACTACCGGTATTTAAACTCAGAACTGTGTTGCAAACACTCAGAAAAAAGTGTGACCCCTGACCTCATGTTAACCAGTTTAATGACTGCAGCCTGTCTGTGACCACAGGTCTATGCTCGGGTCCAGAGAACGGGATACAGTAAAATAAATACTAGGTATCATAAAATAACACTCATGGGCTACTTCACAGCTGTAGCTACATTTCTACCAGCATTATGAAGATCAATAAGCAGATAAAAGGTTAAATCTAAACATTTCATTACAAAAAGTCAACTAATAAAATTCTGCACAGATAACATTTTATTTTCAGCTAAATAAATATTTATTGTACGTATAAATAATGCTGGAATGAAGCTGAATCATTTAGTAAACAGTTGAGTGTTCAAATAAAAACCAGTGTGACTTTGATCTGTCCCTCCTCATGTCACCATCTACAGAAACAGCCTTCTGGGACACCTGACCAACCAGGTGGATTTTATTTGTGACGTTTCCATAACTTTATAAAAGCTGCTGATGAAGATGATCAGATCATCTCCTCCTTTTGGTTCTCGTTCTCCCGTCGCGGTTCGCACCGTTTCTTTCAGTGACGCTGCAAAGTTGGTTTCCTTCTAATAGCGATTTTTGGAGTAACATGAATTACATCATTTAATACCTCGTTGGAAAGCTCGTTTTATGAACTTTTAGAACCCGTTTGAATTATTTTTATTCGATTAGGACTTCAGATGTTATGACCCGGAGAATCTAGAGTGAGAAACATCCGTGATTCTTTGTTGTGAGTTTATTCAACACTTCAGGAGAAGTCTCTCTCCTATCAGCTACATAAAAAAGAATCCTGGTGACATTTGTTCATAACTTTTCTTCAAGTCATTCATGTAATCTAAAATGTAAACAGTTTCTCCATTAACTGGATGATTGAGTCTGGACATCTCCTATTTCTTCTCGATGTTTCTCTCTCATCAGATCCAAACTGACACCATGACCAGCAGCTTTTACAGCAAACATTGGCTAATAAATGGATCCGCTGATGATCAAATGCACCTGAGTTTAGATGTCACCCACCTTTATTGCCAATAAAACAAAAAGAAGAAAAAAATGGTGGGGAATGAGGAGACGGCCGGCTCGGGTTTCTCCTCCTCCTCCCTCTTTTCTTCTCCAACCTGTCGCTGGGCTGAGGCTCCATCCCTTCCTACATTGGTTTTACTTGAAGCTTCACTACCAAACAACTGTGAGATTTTAACACATGTGCCAGCATCAGCCTGAAGGGCCAGTTTCTTTTAGTCAAATTTTCTCTGCTCCTCCTTTCCGTTTTTTGTTCTCCATTTTGTTAAGCTCGTCTGTCTGTTTACTGAGACTCAAACAACTGGCAGGTGCATCAGACCTCTGGCTATTGGACCAGTCCAGAGTGTATTATGACCAATTGGCCAATCCACCAACTTTTACGAGGTGTGGCGCGGCGCGGACAAGTTGTCCGCAACAACTAGAGGCCAGAAAAAAACAAAACAAACAAAACAGACACCGGCCCATAAAAGATGAAAGGGTTGGCCCAGCGGGCAGTTGCCCGCTATGCCCTATGGTCAGTCCAGCATTGAGTCATCTCCTGTTGCAGGGTAAACGCATGATGGGAGAGGACGGTGTTGAGAGCTTCAGCGACATGTTCCATGAGAACTCCATGCTGCAGACCGAGAACAGCAACCTGAGGGTGAGAGTCAAAGCCATGCAGGAGACCATCGATGCCCAACGGGCACGCCTCACCCAGCTGCTTAGTGACCAGGCCAACCAGGCTCTTGCCAGGGCAGGTGAGGCTGCTGGAACACCTACATCAGTTGTCTAACTTTGTCACACAACTTGGATCTCTGTCTTCTGCAGGTGAAGGAGGCACAGAGGAAATCGGAAACATGATACAGGGATACATCAAGGAGATTGAAGACCTTCGGTAAAAATCTGACCAGATCAATTCTGTGATTTCTTCGTTTTGTCTTTTTTCTGACTTGACCAATGTTCTGGTCTTTGTTTCTGGATGTTTTCCTCAGAGCTAAACTCTTAGAGAGTGAAGCAGTGAATGAGAACTTGAGGAAGAACCTGTCCCGTGCCTCTAATCGTCAGTCTTTCTACGGAGGGCCCGGCTTCTCCTCCCCTCTGCTGGCCCCTGAGAAGGAGACCTCAGATGTCATCGAACTTGCTAAGAAGGACCTGGAGAAGCTGAAGAAACGAGAGAAGAAGAAAAAGAAAAGGTGGAAAAAATCAAAGCAGTTTTAATCGTTTAGCATCTTCTTACATCGTTTACCCGTACCGAAGCATGTTTAAGAGTAAAAGTTACAAAAAAAATCCCAATTTTACTTTTTTATGGCTCCCTGAAAAGCCTCTGTTCAGAAAAATAGTTTACTAGCTAGGCTAACAGTTGATTTGAGTTTAGCCAAGTAAGAAACTGATCAAACTACTTCAGTCTCAGCATTGTTTTATTAACATTAAAATGCAGTTTCTGCCATATTTTACTTGTTTCTGCAGAAATAATTAGCGATGTTTCTCTGAACAGAGGCCTTTCAGATCTTCACTGGATGTTAAACAATGTGCTTCAAAATGGACAAAGCCTCCTCTGAAACAGGAAACTAAGGCCCAATCCCAATACTCACACTTCCACACTTCAATTGTGCGATCCTGGCCAGGGGCGTGAGTGCGTACGGTGTCTCGAATCTCAAGTGTGGACGTTGACCACGTCCCCATTGCACCGTTAATCTGCACTTCACCCAAGTTTACAGTGATGCGGACCTGGGGCAAGGGTATTACCCACAAGCCATCAGTGGCGGTTCTACATGGAATTACTCCCCGGGCGAGGAACCCTTTGTGCGCCCCCCCACCCCCACCCCCACCCACCGCCACACCACCCCACCTGCACGAACACACGCATGTTTTCTACAAACAGGCTTGTTTTATTAGAACGACTATTGAACATTCATTTTTCTAAGTTGCACATATTTACATTAATTACTATGAAGTTGTCAGAATGTAAAGCAATATACATTATATACTGTATCAAAATATATAGAATCAAATATACAAAAACAAACAATAACTAAATATTAAGAATATATGAACATAATATATAATAAATATTCTAAATAGCAAAAATATTTCACACATAACAAACTAAAGATAATCACTACAGCATTGCACTTAAAACAGAAAACACAAACTAAAATTAAAACCTAACCTTGATGAAACGTCATCAATAATGTCATCATATGAAATCTGCTCCCCTACTGAGTGATTGATACTAATCAGAGCCAGGTGAGTGAGCCACCCCTGAAACATAGGTGACCTCAGGTATGACTTGATCAAGTTTTGAAAAGCTCCTCTCAGCTTGAGCCACAGTGACTGGCAGAGCAGTCCAAAAGTTGGGGTAGATCTCCAATAGATCTTTATCATGATCTATAATATTTTAGAATGGCCTCTGAAATTGTAATTTAAACTAACATAAAAAACTGTAGACTACCAAAAATGCCAATTTTTACAGAACAAATCATGTAAAAATAATCAGTGCAGGCATCTGCAATAAATAAACAGGATAGTTAGTGGTGACTGGGGAGTTTTCTTCTGCTTGTAGAGTTGTTTTATTTATTATTATGTGAACATGATCAACATGTGTTTGTTGTTGTTCAGGCAGGCCACAGGCTGCAGCGAGCATTTAACAAATCCTAGTTTGAATCAGTAAAAAACGATTCAATGAATTTTTTCGAACCATTTGAATATTCGTTTCAATATTTCAGCCCTATTAGCTCTGTTAGCAATTAGTTGACCGAATTTAACCGTTAAAATCCCAGTTACCTGGTTCAAAAAATTGAAAACATGCATCATCTCCTCTTTTCTTCCTGAATCGGGCACCTGGTGATTTTAGCCTTTTTATGTTCATCTCTTCTGTTTGGCTCTTGACTCAATAAGTTTCCTTTAGTCAGGACTAAACAATTTGACCTCGATCGTTTTGTTTTTCCTTTTTTTATTTGGTCATTTCACACAATTCAGAAACACCTGAAAGAACGATAGGCCTGTGTTTATGATATTATGAATGAAATGTGCGTTAAATGGAAGAACATCAAGATTGACTTTAGCCATGTTAATACAGTTGATTCAGCCCCTAACCGCGCTTTTCATTTGGAAAGACGCAGAGGTGAATTCCCCCGCCACACCCCTCCCCTTCCTCTTCTTACACACACACGGAGCACGTGAACGTTCTCGGTCAGCAGGAGCGCCTGCAGCTGCAGGGGGCGCCAACTCGCTGTTTCCAATCCAGACACTGTCATATAACCGATAAGAGAAAACCTCGGTGCGGCGCAGATTTCTTTTTTTCTTTTAAATCAGCGCCTGTGCGCCCCTTTTGTGTCATGAAAAAATGCCGCCCCGGGCAACTGCCCTGTCTGCCCGTGCCTAAAACCGCTACTGCAAGCCATTGCTGTGGGAGAAAAGGCTCAAGCTCCTTTTCTGAAAATGTGAATTTTCTAATGAAAACAGTTAATTTTAGGATGATTAGTTGACGCTCTAAAACTTTTAGACAAAGCAGCAATGAATGCAAATTTATTTCAAATAACTGTTTGGTTGTTTCTTTAAAAGTTGTTAATAAAGGTTTTTGAAAAGCATCACAGTGAGCAGAATCCCGGCACGTGTTGCGGTCGATGACATTATTATTTACACAATTTTGTAACACCCTCTCGAAGCCTTACTGCACACTTCCTCCAAGTGCACTAAACCAAAGGCCGTAGGGCACGGTGTGAGCATCGGGATTGGGTCTAACAAAGCCACGCATCTGGAGGCATACCGTAAAAAGTGTAGTAAGTGCTCCTCCAAGAGTGCTAACACCAGATATGAAAATGTATTTATCTACTTACTTACAATGTATGGCTCGTCTTTGCTCGTCATCTAGAGTCTTCTGCTGCTGATCCGTAACTGGCAGCAGACACTCACAGAAAGGGAGTGAGAAAGTGACTTTTTGAAAAGAAAGATAGATTGCAGTAACCCAATTTTACCAAGGGGTTTCATTCTTACTTCATTCTTACATATTGCACCTTTAAACAAACATAATAATTATGGTTAAAGTGCCAAACGGGGTGATGTTTAACCCTAAATCACTGCAGCAACAGGAAAACACGCAGCCTCCACTTGGAGATGTCTGGCCTCTGGTTAGATTTGACATACTGTAGATAGAAGGTGAGATATTTTACTTGTAAAGCAAACATTTTCTGTAAACGTAACCTCGCCCACTGACACAAATAGGCTCATTATTCTTATTTCTTCTCCAGATAAACAAGAAAGCAGCGCTTGAATGTTACAAGTGTTTAACCACATCACAGGAGCTGCTGTCTAAGTGTTAGATAGGGTTTATTTACATCTTTCTCTGCAGGTATCAAGAATTTGGAGGTTTATTTTGTTTGTTTATCTGCATAAATAAACTAACATGAATGTGCATAAAGACTAGATGAATAAATCACAGATGAGATTATTGTGCTGCTGATTTAATTTAGACTCACAGAAACAAGTTGGAGCTTCCAATGACCATTCTTTCCTCCATTCTTCCTTCATTTCTTTCTTCCTTCTCTGGTTTGGCCTTTCCCTCCCTGAAGACTCCAGCTGCTGTTGGAGGAGAAAGAAAGGGAGGAAGGGGAGGAGGTGGTTGAGGATACCAGGTTTGTCTGAGCTTCCACCCTCTCGTTCCTGTTCCCATCTTTTGCTTCCACAGATGTTTGTTTCACTTTTATTTCTTTGGGCAGACATTTTCCTCTCTGGGTTTCCGCACAAGGCTTCTTACAAACCCTCCCTCCACCAAATCATTGTTTGCACACCTCTTAATGCTAAACACTTTTTAAATATTATATATATATATATATATATATATATATATATATATATATATATATATATATATATATATTACTATAGTTCGCATTATGTTTGGTGCAAGCTTTTTAGCAATGTTGCTGGGAGCTAAAGCTTGTAGTTCCAGATGTTTGCCCCATCTGGAACTGTTAGTATGTGGTGTGGAGCACGAGGAGGATGAAGGCTCCTCCTCTTTTGTCTGGTCATGTTATGACCTGCTGCTTAACCGTGCTGGTGTATTTGAGCCACTCAGATGAAAACATGATTAGTAGGAAACTTTATTAGTTTGTTCTCACAGTTTTTGACAATAAAGATAAGATTTTGATTAAAAAAACATTTCCTGAATCAAGATGAGATTACAGTTGGTTTGTTGAGAGAAAAAGTCTAAATTGTTCCAGGAATTAGTCCTAATTGTTGAGAAGAAAAGTCACATACGCTGCCTGTCTAAAAAAATGCCACCTGGATTTAACCAAGCAAACAGGTAGGAGCCTCCTATTGGATAACTGTTGCATGGGTGATTATCTTTCAGCTGCAACAGGTTATTTAACCCCTACTGATGCAATGAGTTGTTTCTCATTCCTTAAACAACCATGTGGAAAGACACATCAGGTGGTCGTGGAAAATATGGGGCCAGCTCATTGGCATCAAGCAGAGAAAACATCTAAGGAGATTGTAGAAACGACTAAAACTGGGTGAAGAACTGTCCAACGCTTTATTAAAAACTGGTCTGATGAGTCCAGATGGACCTGTTCCAGAGTGATGGTGCATCAGGGTAAGAAGGAGGCAGATGAAGTGATGCAGCCATCATGCCTAGTGCCTACTGTACAAGCCTGTGGGGGCAGTGCTATGATCTGGGCTTGCTGCAGTTGGTCAGGTCTGGGTTCAGCAACAGAATGTGCTCCAAGAATGAGGTCAGCTGACTACCTGAATGGACAGAATGACCAGGTTATTCCATCTTCCCTGATGACACGGGCATATTCCAGGATGACAACGCCAGGATTCATCAGGCTCAGCTAGTGAAAGAGTGGTTCAGGGAGCATGAGACATCATTTTCACACATGGATGGGCCACCACAGAGTCCAGACTTTAACCCCATTGAGGATCTCTGGGGTGTGCTGGAGAAGGCTTTGTGCAGCGGTCAGACTCACCATCATCAGTGCAGATCTGGGTGAAACATTAATGCAACACTGGATGGAAATAAATCTGGTGAAGCTTTTCTAAACAACGCCACAGCGAATGTGTGTAATGAGCAAAGCTTTAGGTGGTCCAGCAACATCTTAGAAGGTGTGACCTTTTTTTTTTATGGCAAATTTTTTTTGGCCAGGCAGTGTTTTTTCTAACAGAGAGAGGAAGCTGATGTGCTGTTACCGGGCAGATTACAGGATCACATGAGCTCTTTATTCTCACAACAGCAGAACTCACAGAACGGCTTCAGCCCTTCACAATAAGAGTCACAGATGTACAAACAAGACAGATTATTTTCACTGATTCACAGTAAAAGTCCTGCTGCCACCCGATCAGCTGGCATCTGTAAAAATAACTTTAATGTTTTTATTTTTAATTAAATCTACACAAGGCATCATTGCTACAGATGGTTTAGGTTTTGTTCCCTTTCAGGCTTTTCTCATGTTTTTGTCAACATTTCAACTTTAATCTGGAAGTTGGGAAACTCTTCCTGGGTGGACCCAAATACATTGTTGTAGCTAACCTCTGGGATTGGTTGAATGATTTATCCGATAGATCCGGTCCATGGATGTAGTGACCCTCTGCTTCTGTTCAGGCTGCTGAGATTCCCCCGCATCAGTTCTGAGGAATCGTAACTGTTGTTCTGTTTTGCTGAAGCTCACACGGTTCCATCTGCAGATATGTGTTAATAAACTCTGAACAGCTTTTATTGCTTCCCTGGTGTAAAGAGCATTTAGAAGTCTGCTTCTCAGAAACACTGTGATGATGAGGTGTTGTTCACCACTAAAACAAGCACAGGTCTTCATGGTGTGAAAATATGTAGACCTACAGCTGGCACTCAGAACGGCGAGGAAGAGCTCTGAGTGAAGATCATCTCTGACTCTTTCAGTGCCAGCAAGGAGGAAGTTCCAGACAACGACCAGGAAAAAGTCACAGAGAGGATCGGCGACAACGCGGAGATGGTACGATCTGTTCTAAGTCTCATGTCCAGGCTGGAATCTGGTCATAAATCAAGCTGACTTCTGTTATCGACGTAGGAGGTTCAAGAGGCCAGTGACCATGAGGAAGGAGAGGAGGAGGAGGAAGAGGAGGAAGAGGAGATGGACATGGAGGAGAGCTCTGATGATTCTGACTCCGAGTCAGATGAAAAAGGTGTTGGGGAAAGACATTTCCTTTGAGATGAGGATCATGAAAATCTAGTATGAAGCTGAGCAGCTCAGAGTTTTTCAGGTCACTGACACGTCCACCAGGTGGAGCTGTTCAGCTTCTGCTAGGCTACATTTAACCTGCTGAACATCTGGGTCATCAGTCCTGGTTTCGTTAACTTTAATCTGTCTGACAGAAAACTACCAGGCAGACCTGGCCAACATCACGTGTGAGATCGCCATCAAGCAGAAGCTCATCGATGAGCTGGAGAACAGCCAGCGGCGTCTGCACACGCTCAAGCAGCAGTATGAGCAGAAGCTGATGATGCTGCAGTGTAAGATCCGGGACACCCAGCTGGAGAGGGACCGTGTCCTCCAGAACATGAGTAAGAACTGCTTAGGTTCATGTGTTCATCAGTCAGTGGAATGGATCTCCATCCCATCCACCAGGTGACACGTGTGCACTTAGGTGATCGTCTCAGCCGGGTTGTGTTGTCTTAAGCGTGCCTCTCCAAACACACAGAAACAGTTAAGATTTAGTTTCATAAGTAATAACAGATCAAACATTTGTTTGAGATGAAATGAAACTCGAATGCTCTCAGCTGCCTTTTTGCTGTCCTTTTGATGAATCACCTTATCGTATTTTTGTGACGGACATTTAAAGATTCGATGGAAAGTGGCACGGATGACAAGGCTCGTAAAATCAAAGTGGAATATGAGAAGAAGCTGAGCATCATGAACAAGGAGCTTCAGAAGCTCCAGTCTGCCCAGAAGGAGCACGCCCGCCTGCTGAAGAACCAGTCCCAGTACGAGAAGCAGCTGAAGAAGCTTCAGGTGGACGTGGCAGAAATGAAGAGGACAAAGGTGTGTTGAGGGCCGGCTGGCAGCTCCAGACGTTGGCCCTTGTTTTAATTTAAGGTTTGGTGTATTCAGGTTCGTCTCATGAAACAAATGAAGGAGCAGCAGGAGAAGAATAGGATGAATGAGTCTCGCAGGAACAGAGAAATCGCCTGTTTGAAGAAGGACCAGCGTAAGCAGGAGGTCAGCTATGAGAACACTGTCTGGGATTTCATGACCAGTTCAGGTTTTCATGCTGTGCTTGTTTCTTCCCAAGCATCAACTGAAGCTCCTGGAAGCCCAGAAGAGGCAGCAGGAACTGATTCTGAGGAGGAAGACTGAGGAGGTGAGCGTCAACAACAAGCAGGTGTTTGTTTAGGAGAGGAACAGAGAAACCAGGGCCCTTGTTTATCAAACCTTCATAGAAACTGACCTACATTCCCTCCTATGACCAAAATTTAGATTGTGTATACGAACAGTCAGAAGACTGATTTATGAAACGTGCGGTGGCCTCTCGTACGCACGATCTTCCGCAATCGTCTGATGATAAATCCCACCTGTGCGTACCCAGGCGCTCGTGTCCGTTCACTCATTTACTTACAGAAATGCCCTCAGTTAACCATCTTTGGTCACCCTACATCCTCACATCCTCAGCACAAGACGGGACTCCCTGTTGTTTTCCAGAAAAAGTAAGAAAAACCTTTATTGACAGCAAGACTGAGACACTGGCTGCTGAAGAACAAAAAAACAAACAAGTTGCAGAACTTCTAAACACGGTTGGGACAGAGGAGAGGTTCCTGTCAGAAGTAAATAACAAATGAATCTGATAAATGGTAGAGTAACGGCTTCTCATTACAGTTGTTCTGTTTGGAGTCGCTTTCATTTGGAAATGTTGACTGAGTTCAGCCTCTTCTGAGCTGTTATTCAGTCTGGTTGTGTCTGAGACGGGGAGCAGAGGAGGTTCTGGGGGTTCTCGTAGTTGTAAAATAAAATATGAACTGGAATCGGATTTTGCGAGGTTAGTCTGTCCCCCTAGTGGCTGGCTGCAGTAAAACTTCAGAGTTGGCCCCAGATTCTGGAAGAAATGTGTGTGTGTGTGTGTGTGTGTGTGTGTGTGTGCGTGTGCGTGTGTCTGTGTCTGTGTGTGTGTGTGTGTGTGTGTGTGTGTGTGTGTGTGTGTGTGTGTGTGTGTGTGTGTGTGTGTGTGTGTGTGTGTGTGTGTGAAAGGTGACTGCTTTGAGGAGGCAGGTCAGGCCCACTTCAGGTAAAGTGGTCCGGAAAGTCAACCTTCCAGAACCAGCTCAGGACTCCCTACTCCGCCCCCCCTCTGGGCGTACATACTCATCCAGCAGCTCAGCAACCAACAGCACGTGGTGAGTGTGTGTGTGTGTGTGTGTGTGTGTGTGTGTGTGTGTGTGTGTGTGTGTGTGTGTGTGTGTGTGTGTGTGTGTGTTTGCGTTTCTAACTGAGGTGTCTCCTCACTGACCAGGTCCTACCGGCGCACCATGGGTGTTTACTCAACCAGAGGTGCTCGAAATAAGTGGCAGACTCTGGAGAGGCGCATCTCGGACGTCATCATGCAGAGGATGACCATCTCCAACATGGAGGCCGACATGAACCGGCTCCTTAAGGTGAAACCATTTTAGATTTACTTACATCTGCCTGAGGTTTTATTCAACACGAGCACCTTTTCTGATTCGTCTTCTCTGGTTTTTCAGTCATCCAGAATCACATCTTTGCAATGATAGGAGCTTTTTTCAAGTTTGTAAATGAATGAAACAAATCACGATCAGAAATGGCTGTCGGCATGTCCGAGTACCCCTCAGTTTGGATTTCACCTTTATTCTGAATCATGACCCATTAAGCTGCTTTAGAGCAGAACCTAATTTATTTATTTAAATAATGAAGCAGGTTTAGGAAGAACCCCACGAGGAGAGCAGTTCTGTAAAGAATTTTGATATTTTCCACCCACAGCAACGAGAGGAGCTGACAAAGCGTAAAGAGAAGGTCATCAGGAAGAGAGACCGGCTGCTGCGGGACGGGGTGGAGCCAGAGAAAGCTGTGCTGCCCCTCAACGAGGAAGTGGATACACTGACCGCCAACATTGACTACATAAATGACAGCATTGCTGACTGTCAGGCCAACATCATGCAGCTGGAGGAAGCCAAGGTTTGGAGTGGTTACCATTGGTTACGCTCAGTTAAGGCCGGATTAACCATATGGGCAACTGGGCAATTGCCCAGGGCCCACGAACTCTAAAGGGCCCAGGGCAGAAGGGCACGAGCAAAATACTGTAGGCCTATCTGTAATCTCCCGCTTTATATTAAACTAGGGTGACCGTACGTCCGGTTTTTCCCGGACATGTCCGCTTTTCACTCTCTGTCCGGGGTGTCCGGACTGCGGGTTCTTGTATTGATGAAAATGTCCGGATTTTCATCCAGGAGCAGGGATCAAATTATGTTTGAGCTGGATATCCTACACATCCAGGGGAGCCAGAAAAAAGTTTTCTACCTATATTACATCATTTATGGACTCTTTAGAGCAGAGAGCACAGAGAGCGGCACAGCGCTGCGTTGTTGCGTAGTGATCCAGGCTGCTGCGTCCAGCGCACGGTCCATTCTCAAAGTGGCGCAACCAAAAAAACTATAATTAGCACACGATCGTTCATGTCCGCACATGTTCTCTACTTTCTGTCTTATTTGTGCCTGAAGCGCTCTGCCACTGCGCAGCTCATCACCTGTGCTGCGCGGTGCTGCGGTGATTTCACCTCACTGACACAGCAACGAAATGCACTCTCCGCTTTGTGGTCAGGAAATCCCTTTGATCTGCTCAAAAGTAACTGATGAGGTGAAAAAGTAAGAATCCAGGCAGCAGATTTTCTGGAGAGTTTAGAGGAGATGCAGGAAGATGAGAGACAGACAGGACAGGAAATAGTTAAATAAAAACAAGAAAACAAAAAATTAAATGTAGGTAGATTTATCCCCACGACACGTTTTTACCTGTATAAAACATTAAGTTATACACATGTAGTATTTATACATCTGATACAATTCAGATCACCTTCAACACTCAGTCACACAGCCAGGGCCGTTTCAAGACATTTTGGGGGCCAAGGCAAAATGACCCCCCCCCCCCCCCCCATAACTGGGCTCCCCAGAAGCCTCTGTGTAATCCATACCCTCTCCAGGAGTGTTAGTTATACAGTGTTTATAAAAGCCCCTCAGACATCACTGACATGTTCTAATATTATCAGATGAAAAACTAAATGATCAGACATGCTGTCTCATCTGCTGCTTTTCTAAACTTGCAAAAAGTAACAAAACCATCTGAAAGCCACTATTTGTGGATTCTCTGAAAGTTTCCATGGAGTGTGTGACAACTTATTTTTTCATTGATCCTATCTTCTAATCTCACAGCTGAAACAAGCATCCTTAATAATCTGTGCACAGGAAGCTTATTGATGCTGTATTAAAACAAAAGGTATAATAATTTATTATTAATAAAACCTTGTTGCAGCACTAAAGCAAAAAAATGAGATTTTGCAGTAAATATGCTAAATATTTACATATGAATTGTTTTAGAGCCCTTTTATTGGCAGAATCTGATATTAATTTAGTTCTTACAAAAAAATTGGGTCCCAACGTGGTTTGTGTGGCGTTGCCATAGTGTGACGTCATAGGCACAGATCCCCTGTCCTCTTGTTTGGAAATGGAAATATGATCACCCTATATTAAACAAACTGTCCACCCGGGCTTTTGCGCTGCACAGAGACGCTTCGCTGCCTATGACTTTGAACGTCAGTTGAGAGTCAGTCTCATGCAGACTGACCAATGAAGAGAGGGCCTCAAGTTAAGACCCTCTCCTCATTGGTCAGTCCACACAAGGTGGGTCAAAGGTTACCCTGAGCGGGTTACGTGATGCCAGGCATTCAAGTATTGAGTATATTTACTGCATATTACAGTAAAATATTCTGTATGTGACCATATTATAGTGATTCTTGGGTAGTGATGATGGGGCCCTTGAACATTGTTGCCCAGGGTACAACGAAGTGTTAATCTGGCCCTGTGGTTAGAGTGTCATCACATCATGGCAGGGTTAAATCTTCGTCAGCTCACCTGCACATGCTCCCTGCAGCTGCAGGCATAATCACTGCTGTAGGAAAAAGAAAACATCCGTGTTTTAATTAACTGATTCGTTAATCACTACTAATCAGTCCCTTGGACGTTAATGCAAATCACTCGGATCCTGACCTGGAGCTGAACACGCATCACAACAGTTTTACATGTCAGAACACAAGAAGAAGCTCTACCCAGGGTTCTAGTGACTCCCGCATCTTGGGTCACGTGGTTTATGGTACTGATGCAAGATGTTGGAAAATACAGTGGGGCAAAAAAGTATTTAGTCAGCCACCGATTGTGCAAGTTATCCCACTTAAAATGATGACAGAGGTCAGTAATTTACATCATAGGTACACTTCAACTGTGAGAGACAGAATGTGAAAAAAATCCATGAATTCACGTGGCTGGATTTTTAAAGAATCTATTTGTAAATCAGGGTGGAAAATAAGTATTTGGTCACTTCAAACAAGGAAAATCTCTGGCTCTCACAGACCTGTAACGTCTTCTTTCAGAAGCTTTTCTGTCCTCCACTCGTTACCTGTATTAATGGCACCAGTTTGAACTCATTATCTGTATAAAAGACACCTGTCCACAGCCTCAAACAGTCAGACTCCAAACTCCACCATGGCCAAGACCAAAGAGCTTTCAAAGGGCACCAGGAAAAGAATTGTAGACCTGCACCAGACTGGGAAGAGTGAATCTACAATAGGCAAGCAGCTTGGTGTGAAAAAATCAACTGTAGGAGCAATTATCAGAAAATGGAAGACATACAAGACCACTGATAATCTCCCTCGATCTGGGGCTCCACGCAAGATCTCATCCCGTGGGGTCAAAATGATCATGAGAACGGTGAGCAAGAATCCCAGAACCACACGGGGGGACCTGGTGAATGACCTGTAGAGAGCTGGGACCACAGTAACAAAGGTCACCATCAGTAACACCTTACAACGGCAGGGAATCAAATCCTGCAGTGCCAGACGTGTTCCGCTGCTGAAGCCAGTGCATGTCCAGGCCCGTCTGAAGTTTGCCAGAGAGCACATGGATGATACAGCAGAGGATTGGGAGAATGTCATGTGGTCAGATGAAACCAAAGTAGAACTTTTAGGTACAAACTCAACTCGTCGTGTTTGGAGGAAGAAGAATACTGAGTTGCATCCCAAGAACACCATACCTACTGTGAAGCATGGGGGTGGGAGCATCATGCTTTGGGGCTGTTTTTCTGCTAAGGGGACAGGACGACTGATCTTTGTTGAGGACAGAATGAATGGGGCCATGTATCGTGAGATTCTGAGCCAAAACCTCCTTCCATCAGTGAGAGCTTTGAAGATGAAACGTGGCTGGGTCTTCCAACACGACAATGATCCCAAACACACCGCCCGGGCAACAAAGGAGTGGCTCCGTAAGAAGCATTTGAAAGTCCTGGAGTGGCCTAGCCAGTCTCCAGACCTCAACCCCTTAGAAAATCTGTGGAGGGTTTTGAAAGTCCGTGTTGCTCGGCGACAGCCCCAAAACATCACTGCTCTCGAGAAGATCTGCATGGAGGAATGGGCCAAAATACCAGCTACTGTGTGTGCAAACCTAGTAAAGACCTATAGTAATCGTTTGACCTCTGTTATTGCCAACAAAGGTTATGTTACAAAGTATTGAGTTGAATTTTTGTTATTGACCAAATACTTATTTTCCACCCTGATTTACAAATAAATTCTTTAAAAATCCTGCCATGTGATTTCATGGATTTTTTTCCACATTCTGTCTCTCACAGTTGAAGTGTACCTATGATGTAAATTACTGACCTCTGTCATCATGTTAAGTGGGAGAACTTGCACAATCGGTGGCTGACTAAATACTTTTTTGCCCCACTGTATATGTTTGGCCGGATGGCTGAATGGAAGGACAGAAAGATACGTAGACAGATGGATTGATGGATATAGATGGATACTGTATTAATCCCTTGTGGTGGTGTGGTGTATGAATACGTAAAACGGATTAAGAGAACATCAGAAAAAGGTGAAAAAAAATTTATTGACTGTTCTTGTGTGAAAAGCTTCATTAGCAGCATTTCAGAACTCCAACTGGTTCAGGGAGTCTATGTTTTGGCTCCTTAATGGTCATCACTAGATGCCGACTCACTGTAGCAACAACCAAACATTTCATGTGAAAGATTTTCCCCCCAAAATCACAATTTGCCACTTAATCATAAAATAAAAATTTTGAGTTATTTGTTTGAAATAAATTGAGAAGGGGTAAAATATGCATTAGCATGTCAGAGCTGTGCATAGATGAGCTGTCTCTGATTCCAGGCCCTAGAGCCAGCACCTCACCGCAAACAGCATCTACGATGGAGTCTACTCCGTTAAAACTCTCCTCACCTTCATGAGTCAGGAGGGCAAGTGAGGCAGCTTTGGCACACACACGTGCTAACCAAATGAAGGAAATATAGTCAAACTGATTAAGATGCGGCACGAGTGTCAATTACACCGATTCTGTGTGATTTCAGTGGAACATCTGACACCAGCACCTTTTTGGTTTGGTCTTTACTCGGCCAAATGTTTGTACTTATTTTCTGGGGCGCCCGGAGGATTTCCTCCTGTAGCCGGTGGGTTACCAGCTCAAACCCAGGCCTCACCCCTCTCACTCAGTGTGTCCTTGACACAGTTCTCCACTCCTTCATCTCCTCACGCTTAGACTACTGTAACTCTCTTTTCACGTGTCTGAGCAGAACCCCCCTGAACCGTCTACAGGTGGTTCAGAACGCCTGTGCTCAGCTTCTGACCAAGTCCTCCAAACACACCCACATCACCCCGCTTCTCCTCCAGCTTCACTGGCTGTCAGTCAACTTCAGGGTTCATTTCAAGATTCTGGTTCTGTCTATAGGGCCTTACATGGACAAGCACCATCTTACATTGGTGATCTTCTCAGTCCCTACACCCCCAGCAGGTCCCTGAGGTCCAGTGACCAAAGCCTACTGGTTGTGCAGCACCAGGCTAAAGGTCAAAGGTGACAGATCATATGCTGCTGTGGCCCCCAGACTCTGGAACTCTCTCCCCCTGAGCCTGAGATCAGTGGACTCAGTGGTCTCCTTTAAAAAGCAACTGAAGACTCACTTGTTCAAGCTGGCTTTTGTATGACCTTCTTCACCACTCTCTCTTTATTCTGCTCTCCCCACCTATTCCACCTTCCTCAGGATCCACTGATTTCCCTCTTTCCTGTTCACTCTCTCTCTTTCTTTACATTTTTTATCACAATTGTCTATTTTTGCTCATTTTAAATATATTTTAAAAAATTTTCTAAAAGCTTTTTTATATTTTTACATTTTCTGTTTTTGTGAAGTGCTTTGTGATTTTTTATCTTGAGAGGCGCTATAGAAATGATACTTTCTTCTTGTGTGTGTGTGTGTGTGTGTGTGTGTGTGTGTGTGTGTGTGTGTGTGTGTGTGTGTGTGTGTGTGTGTGTGTGTGTGTGTGTGTGTGTGTGTGTGTGTGTGTGTGTGAATGACTGGGTGCAGTGTAAAGCACTTTGGAGTCCTTGGACTTAATGAAGTGCTGTACAAGTAAAGGTCCTTTACCGTTTCTTTACTAAGAAAATAATCATCTGATTGGACAACGATGTCCAACTCTGTTATGAAATGTTTGGTTCTGTTTTTCAGGAGGAGGGCGACACGGTGGACGTCTCTGCTCTCATTGGTTCTTGTAGTTTGGCCGAGTCTCGTTTTCTGCTGGATCATTTCATGTCGATGGCGATTAGCAAGGTGCCGGTCCTGCACGAGTTCATGGTCACTCACAGACTAAGGTGTTTTAGGAGGGTAGGTAAGGAAATCAGTTCATTTGTTGTCCAACCTCCTCAGGGTCTGCAGGCGGCTCAGCGGGAGTCTCAGGTGAAGGTGATGGAGGGCAGGCTGAAGCAGACTGAGATCACCAGCGCTACGCAGAACCAGCTGCTGTTTCACATGCTGAAGGAGAAGGCTGAGTTCAACCCGGAGCTGGACGCCCTGCTGGGGAATGCTCTGCAAGGTAAGGACCACTCTAGTGTGGTGGGTGTAGGTGGTGGCGGGTCAGGGAGCTGAAACACAGACCAAAGTCCAGACTGGACCCACCCACTCATGCTGCAAGGAGGATGTGTTTGGCTCCTTTGGACTGATCCCCCTTTCTTCTAAAGAGGAAGACTCGGTTTGTGGTTGGCTGCCTGACCTGATCAGACGCTGCTGCCTGTTGCCTTCTGCTGAACAGAAACTGGTTCCATCATCTCTGCAGCTCATTATCGGACTAAAAAACCACTCTACTGTGGTTGGACATGAGGCTGAACTGTTCACTGCTCAGTAGGATTCATGTTTAGATGTGTTCGTTTCCAGGTTTGGGGCCTGTTTTTGATTTGTGATGTGCTTTTTTTCTGGTTCCCCATCTTTTCTTTTTGTTTTCACAGAGCTAGGTAACCTCCCTGCTGGTAAGTGCAACCACACCAGACTTGTTCTGAATGCATGGGCCCTTCTCTTTTTACACTTTAGGACTAACTCAACGTAACTGAAGCAGATGCATGAGGTGCAGTGCAATCAGGCTTCCCTCCATCTGTCAGCTGATCTCTTCCTCTCCTCTGATGTGGATAGGGTTGGGTGATGCGTTGTTTTTAATCGCCCACATGATGATGGCTGGAACATTTGTGCAGGTTTTGTTTTATTTCCTCGGTTGATTTCATATAATGGAACCATTTATGAGCAAAGGTTGTTGCAAAAACAGAGTTGCTAATTGAAAACTACTTGGTTTTAAAGCAATAACTATTGAATAATTTTGATGAGAAGTTGATCAGTGCGATCAGCTTGAAGCCGATATAAGTTGACCACATGGGGGGGTGGGGTGTAGTTTGACTATAAACACAGTTTTGCCGGATTTTCCTTTTACTTCTGACACTACTACTGGTCTTTACTTGTTTTATGGTCTGGTCCTTATTAGCATCTGACTTTGAGTGAAGTTAGATTCGAGCCAGAATGTTGAGTAGAAACATGTGAAGTAAGTAATTCTGGTTCGGTTGGGTTTCTGGGATCAGATATCTATCTGAAGGCAGGTCGTCTGAAGTACGCCAGACTGGAAACTACAAAGTAAAATTCTATTTTAAAGGGACTCTTAAAAAGTTTGAAGTTTTTACGCTCGTGATCGCCACTCAGGCCTAACGCGTAACTGCAGCTTCAATAGGAGGCTCGTGCACGAGGCACGCATGCTGTACATGCACACTCCTTAACGAAAATAACAGCTGAGACAGTCCCGTGTGTGTGTGTGTGTGTGTGTGTGTGTGTGTGTGTGTGTGTGTGTGTGTGTGTGTGTGTGTGTGTGTGTGTGTGTGTGTGTGTGTGTGTGTGTGGCCCGGAGGACAGAGGAAAGGAGAACACGCAGCTAATTAATTAAATAATTTGGTTCTGTACCTTTCTCTTCAGCACAGCCGACAAAGGTTTATGATGGGTCAGTCCTCCTGCATGCTCAGATCATTCCCTTCCCTTGCTTGAAAAATTGTTCCAAAATGAAAGTTGAACCATCGTCGTCGTCGTCGTCGTTGTCTTCCTCCGCTTATCCGGGTCCGGGTCGCGGGGGCAGCATCCCAACTAGGGAGCTCCAGGCCGTCCTCTCCCCGGCCTTGTCCACCAGCTCCTCCGGCAGGACCCCAAGGCGTTCCCGGACCAGATTGGAGATGTAACCTCTCCAACGTGTCCTGGGTCGACCCGGGTGCCTTCTGCCGGCAGGACATGCCCGAAACACCTCCCCGGGGAGGCGTCCAGGAGGCATCCTGACCAGATGCCCAAACCACCTCAACTGGCTCCTTTCGATCCGGAGGAGCAGCGGTTCTACTCCGAGTCCCTCCCGAATGTCCGAGCTCCTCACCCTATCTCTAAGGCTGAGCCCGGCCACCCTACGGAGGAAACTCATTTGGGCCGCTTGTATCCGCGATCTCGTTCTTTCGGTCATTACCCAAAGCTCATGACCATAGGTGAGGATTGGGACGTAGATCGACCGGTAAATCGAGAGCCTGGCTTTCTGGCTCAGCTCCCTCTTCCCCACGACAGCGTCCGCATCACTGCAGACGCCGACCCAATCCGCCTGTCGATCTCCCGATCCCTCCTACCCTCACTCGTTAACAAGACCCCGAGATACTTAAACTCCTCCACTTGAGGTAGGACCTCTCCCCCGACCCGGAGGTGGCAAGCCACCCTTTTCCGGTCGAGAACCATGGTCTCAGATTTGGAGGTGCTGATCCTCATCCCAGCCGCTTCACATTCGGCCGCGAACCTACCCAGCAAGAGCTGAAGGTCAGAGCTGGATGAAGCTAGGAGGACCACATCATCCGCAAAAAGTAGAGACGAGATTCTCCTGCCACCAAACTCGGCACACTCCACACCACGGCTGCGTCTAGAAATTCTGTCCATAAAAGTGATGAACAGAACCGGTGACAAAGGGCAGCCCTGGCGGAGTCCAACCCTCACTGGGAACAGGTCCGACTTACTACCGGCTATGCGGACCAAACTCACGCTCCTCTGGTAAAGGGACTGAATGGCCCTTAACAGAAAGCCACCCACCTCATACTCCTGGAGCGTCCCCCACAGGGTGCCCCTGGGGACACGGTCATAAGCCTTCTCCAAATCCACAAAGCACATGTGGATTGGTTGGGCAAACTCCCATGCCCCCTCCATCACCCTTGCAAGGGTATAGAGCTGGTCCACAATTCCACGGCCAGGACGAAAACCACATTGCTCCTCCTCTATCTGAGATTCAACTATCGATCGGACCCTCCTCTCCAGTGCCTTGGAGTAGACCTTTCCAGGGAGGCTGAGGAGTGTGATCCCCCATAGTTGGAACACACCCTCAGGTCACCCTTCTTAAAGATGGGGACCACCACCCCGATCTGCCACTCCCTAGGAACTGCCCCCGATGACCACGCAATGTTGTAGAGACGTGTCAACCATGACAGCCCTACAACATCCATAGCCTTGAGATACCCAGGACGAACCTCATCCGCCCCCGGGGCTCCGCCGCTGTGTAGTTGTTTGACTACCTCAGCAACTTCTGCCCCCGAGATCGGACAGTCCATCCCCAGGCCTCCCAGCTCTGGTTCCTCCTCGGAATGCGCATTGGTGGGATTGAGGAGCTCCTCAAAGTATTCCTTCCACCGTCCGACTATAGCCTCAGTTGACGTCAGCAGCTCCCCATCCCCACTGTAAACAGTGTGAGCGAGTTGCTGCCTTCCTCTCCTGAGGCGCCGGACAGTTTGCCAGAACCTCTTTGGAGCCGATCGATAGTCTTTCTCCATGGCCTCACCAAACTCCTCCCACGCCCGAGATTTTGCCTCGGCAACTGCCACTGCTGCACCCCGCTTGGCTATCCGGTACCTGTCTGCTGCCTCCGGAGACCCACTGACCAGCCACGCCCTGTAGGCCTCCTTCTTCAGCTTGACGGCTCCCCGAACCTCTGGTGTCCACCAGCGGGTACGGGGGTTGCCACCACGACTGGCACCGGCCACCTTACGACCACAGCTAGCAACAGCCGCCTCGACAATCGCAGAGTGGAACAAGGCCCACTCGGACTCAATGTCCCCCACTGCTCTCGGGATGTGGTCAAAGCTCTGCTGGAGGTGGGAGTTGAAGACCGTCTTGACAGGTTCTTCTGCCAGGCGTTCCCAGCAGACCCTCACTATGCGTTTGGGTCTGCCAGGTCTACGCGGCATGTTCCCTTGCCATCTGATCCAACTCACCACCAGTTGAACCCACATCTTTTTTATCTGTGAATTCAATGCCGTTCGGCGAGTCTGAAATATAAATTTGGGCATCTTACTGTAAAAAAATATACCATTAATGTAAAAAATAAAATCTAAATAAACTATGTTCACACCTGGAGTCTAACCCAGGTCTTCTGCATGGGAGTCAGACATCTCACTAGGTGAGCTAAAGCGCCAGTGATATTCAGTCTATCTGTAACATTTATATCCTTGATGATAGCTGAAACAACGTTCAAAGAACGGTTCGGAGGTCGATGCCTGAGCGTGAACGCGCATGAAGCAGCCTGCTCGACCCGAGCAGCTCTCTTTTTCTGTGATTTTACAGAAAAACAGGCAATCACAGTAAAAAAGCGAGGGCTCATTCTACAGGACCAGGGCCTTGCAGGAGAATGTATGAAGAAGAAATTTATTATTTCTATACATGTTTAAGGATGGAAGAATCTGAACATGATCAGAAGATAACTGATGTAAATCTTCAGCACTTCTTTTTATAGAAATGAGATTTGTAATAAGCGGCAACTCGATGGATCATTAAAGCATCGTATCCATCTTTATTTTGTGTTTTACATCATTTAGTCTGATTTATTGTTGACATAAAGTCCAGGGCCCTCATTCATCACTCCTCTGTAGGGACTGCCCTACCGTCCATCCTATGTTTGAAGTCCAGTGTTCGTACGAGCGGCTGAGTTTATGAAACATGCGGTGGCCACTCGTACACACGTTCCTCTTGCAGGGAGTAAGTAAAGCTGTTTTAAGGACAGATCAGCTGTAATGTGTGTGTTTATTTTGAAAGTGTTGATTTTACAGTTATTTTAGCTTTTTGTCTGTTATCAGCAAGCCTTTCGTAACGACTGGTGAAGCCATTTTGTTTATTTGTGATGTCTTTTATTCTTGAACCTGGTCTTCTTTACAAGTTGAGCGATCTAAGGTTAAATGGAGAGCTTCAACAATGCGAGCTAGTTTACAGATTAAAACTTTACCAGAGTGCCACTAAAAAGTTCCTCTGCTGTGAATAAAAGCAGTTTATGTTCCTGTGTGTCCCTGCGATGGAGACATGTCCAGAATGTCCCCGCCGTTTGCCCAGTGGCTGCTGGACAGGCGCCAGTTGGCTGTGACCCAGTACAGGAGCAGTGGGTTATCGACGTTGTGGGAGAAAACCAGAAAACTCACCCCTGAAAACCTTTTTTCTGATTTGGACCAGTCGCCCAGCCCTATATTCAGACACACTCTTCCTCCCAGCTCACACGGGCTTCAGCCTCCGTGCTTTAGCGCCAGCTAACCCAAACCCTTCCAAAGACCCAGACAGCATGGACGCTTTAACTCTGTTGGATCCCTCAGGTCAGCTGACTCCAGAAGCAAATTAATGATTCCTCACACACAACCTTGTATCACCTTCCTCCCCCACCTCTCTGAGTAACCCTCTCTGACCTCTGACCTTCTTCCAGTCATGTGACCATGTTTAACCCAGTGAGAACCAGGTTTGCCAGTAAACCAGCATGACGCTGCTCTGACAAGGATCTCATCTGCTTCTCTTCTTCATATCGCATCCATTTTGAGCAACAAAGTGTTGAATTGAGAAGAAGTGGAGTAATTTAGTGTTTAGTGAAATTAGAACGGGTGCTATCACTGTTGAATGGTGGGTGTTGCTCGGCTCTGCTGATCTGCTTTTATCTCATGTGACAGAGAACGGGGACGACAGCAGCAGTGACGAGTCTGCTCAGAGCCCGTCGGCTGAAGGAGCGTAAGTTTGTGTGAAGCTCCATCTCGTTGTGAGGGAAGCTGTAGGTTTTGTGTTGCTTTATGTTGATGTCGTAGATGTTTTCATGATGTGACGTGCTGCTGTCTGCTTAATGGACTTTTCGTGTTCCACCTGTTCAGGTTGGATCTTATGATAGGTGATAGGTTGGACTGTAGGACTCGTTGCATGTACAGTGGACCTTAAGTGCGTTCCTTGATGCATGTTCTCCCTTTGCAGCACATTGGCAACAGACCTCATGAAAATTTGTGGGGAGACCAAAACAAAGAATAAGGTATGTAAGAGATTCAAATATAATAATAATAATATCAAGCATTACCTTTCTAATGTTTGCTTCTCCTGTGGTGGACAGGCTCGCCGGAGGACCACCACTCAGATGGAACTTCTGTACGCCAACAGCGACTCTGCCCGTGACGCAGCCGCTGACTTCTCTGGTCCCGTGCTGCCGCTGGCCGAGACACCAGATGGTGGGGGGGACATGGACTTTTCATCAGTCAGGGACTACGCGGCTCTCTCCCCTGGCTTTTCCTCTAAAGCAGGCAGCATGTAAGTCCATGCCCTGCTGCCGTCTCCGAACAGCCGACCTGCTTCTCTCCTGCAGGCAGAAAGTTGCAGTTTGAGTCATATTTGTTTTGCGCTGCGTACAAACATCTCCACAGACCGCAGCACTTCTTGGTGTAAAAAGCATGAAGACAAAGACTAACTTTAGTGTGGCTTCTTTAATTTCCCCTTTAAGACCTGACTTATCTCTCACAACAAGAAGATGTTGGTTCTGGTTTACACCGGTTGTGGGTGGCTCTGTAAATGACCTCAGTTTGGAGAAGTCAAGACTAGTTAACCAAGTTACTGAAGGGATTGAAGAGCTAATGGCTAGTACAAGTGAGACAAAATAAAGTGGATTTCAGAATATAATTACAGTTTTATACACCTTATTGCACACTCACACCACCTGGCCCCAAGAAAGGTTGTTACCAAAATAAGATGCCCCATGTTCCCTGAAGCACTTTTACTGTTTGAACCTGATGAATCCTGGTGTTAACATCTAGGAATATGCCTGCGTCATCAGGATGATGGAATAACCTGGTAATTCAGTGTATTCAGTTAGTTAGCTGGCCTTGTTCTTTGATGACCGACTGCACCAACCCCAGGTCAAAAACTGTCCCCCACAGGTCACCCGTAGTTATTTCACACTCCGACTTCAGGTAATTACAACTCATTCTTCATGATTTGCAGAGGTTAGGATCCAAATACAATGACAAGTCACAACCCGGGAGGGAGTAGATAAAAAACACAAAAGGTCTCTAGTTCAAGCACCGTTACTGGAGCAAAACGGAGACAACAAGAGGAGCCGACTGGGTGCAGAAACTGAACTGGAATTAAATAGACATGCCTAACTGGTGAGATGGTTGCTAATGGCAAAGAGACGACAGGTGTGATTAAATGACTGGCAACACAAAAACACAAGAGGAAGAGAACTGAAACTGAACAGATAAAACAATAAGACACAGTTTCTACAGATGATATTAGAACTGATATTAACTAAACGGGGGGGAAGCTAAATAAGGACAAAGTGATTATTAGGCACAAAAGTGAAACACGAGGCTATAGGGAAACCAAACAGAACACAATGAAATGAAAACACATACAACTGAAGTAAAAAGGCTGGGGGAACAACTAAACCATGAACTAAAGAACACACATTAACCTAATATAAAAATATTATATGAAGCGAAGAAGAAACAATGAAGGACTGGAGCAGAGGAGTGGCTAGAGACTTGAAGAAGCCTGTTAATAACATGCTGATTAAAATGTGTGTGGTGAAGCAGGGAAACGACTAAAACATGCTGGCAGCCCGCACAAATTCCAACCAAGCACTATGTTTACAAATGAGCGTCTGGTTGGAAAACCTCTACAAAACAATGGTTGCATTGGCTTTACATGTAACATTGTGTTTTGTGCTGTCCTTGTACAATAAAACCAAACTAAAACCCCAGCTGCACAACACGTGTCTGGTCAGGATAGGATGGCTTTATTTGTCATTGAACCAGCGTCCCGGTACAGTGGAATGTAATTTCAGTACAACCGCACATGAAGCACTTAGCCAGGGACGCACGTTTACTGTTGTCATGCAGCCTTTTATAGGGCATCAGACATTAGAGCACACATTCAGACAGTTGCAACATAATCAAACGTGAGGTGGGTGGGAGGAGTAGGAATACCCATGCATCTGAGGGAGACCAGCAGCTACCCATCAGCCTGGCTTTCAACCTCCACTGCCCAGGGATTGGAAGGACCGTTTCAGGGATGCACAAGCGCGTAGAAAAACTGGGAGTGTGTGCGTGTCTGTTATGTGAGTGCGTGCATGGATGTGTTCATCAGTTTTAGTCAGTCCATGAACTTTCTCTCAGTTCAGTTGCAATGTCCGTCATCTCAGATGTAACAATACGACCTTTTGCCAGCTGAACCACGGAGTCCACAGTCCCGTGTGAGGAAGAAGGTAGGGAGGGGTTGAGCATCCGTCTACATAAACATCCCAGGATGTTTTAATGAAGGACCTTCCAAGGCCAATATGTGGGGGCCAAATTCAGATAACAATTGTTTTTGTTCGGTTAGAGCAAGTTGTGTCTGGCTCAATTTCTTAGTGATCAGTAATTTACAAACAGCCGAATATAGGGGCAGTTTTCACCATGCCGAGCTGTAAGTTTCTCCAATTTCTGATCCTTTTCTGAAGCCAAAGCCAGTTTGTTGATCAAAATGAATCTGAGTGCTCACAGCTCGACACGCCCTTCGTAGAAGCCAGGATTGCCAATTGCTCCCAACCGCTTCTGAATCTTGCAATTCACCAGGAACCTACTCGCTACAAATAGCATAAACCAGGTTATCATGATTCCAATTTTATAAACACACCCTTACTGGAAACATAATCCTTCACTTGTTCCAGGAATCCATCATGTATCCTACCAAGTGTGTTCTATCAGGGCCTACCCACCCTGCCCAGAGGACAGAGTTGGGTTGCAGGAAATTCATCTCAAACATAAAAGCACATGTTCAGACAGCTACAACATAATCAAACATGTATGGTGGGAGGGAGGGTGTGGGGATCCCTATGCAGATGAGGGAGTCCACAACTATATCACCACAGGCCTTCAACCTCCGCTGTCCAGAAATAGGAAGAGCATTTCAGGGGAGGAGGAGAGTGTTGAATCGTGGGAGGGTGTGTTCGTGCATGCATGTTGCATCAGTTACAAGTGAGTCTGTGACTTTTCTCCCAATTCAGTCACAATGTCTCAGGTCTAATAAATCTAATACAAGTTCCTGGCAAACTGATCCAAGATTCACATGCCCATGTGAGGAATGGGGAAGGGAGAGATGGAGCATTCATCTCCAGGGGAATATAAGAATCTTCTGCCTTCAAGGCCAAGATCGGGGAGCCAAATTCATATAACAGCAATTGTTTTGGAACAGGCCAGAGATTAATGTTTCCTCTGCCCTCTGTCCTTTTGCGTTCTCAAAGTAGCGTCCAAACAGACAAATCTGAGGGTTTCAGTTTCAATTCTGTAAAGGATTAATTTTACATCTTTAGCCATGAGACATAAGATTCCATAGTGAATATGAAATCAATCTTATGGATCTTTGGATACTTTTAACCAGAAGGTTGGAACTTTTTATTGCAGGGATTATGTAACCACCTCATATTAACTCGGAGACAAAAGAAAGAGTCACGTTTTAAAAGTTTAAAGATTTATTACTAAACAAATTAAAACTCGACTAACTTTAAACACTAAATGTATGGTGTAACCATTGAAGGTCCACATGAATAACTACCTCAGTGTTGAACCAGGTAAATGTGTTTGTGTGTACTTCATGCTTATTAGTTTACTGTGTTAATTTCACATCCATCTGTTGCTTTTTAATTGTTTTTATTTATTTATTTTTATTGTCTTTGTGCCATTTGTGGATAATTTGATCAAACTGAACGCTCAGATCTGGCTCCAGACCAGCTTTGGAGAGGCGAGTTCTGGAGCCGTCACCGCTCTCTCGCAGAAAGACGTATGACAAGGCTCAAGCAGCGGCCGACAGGGAAAAGGTCAAGGATATTAAACAGTAAGAGCTTGGTGCCAGCATTGTGGCTGCAAAGCTGAAATGAAGGAATCTCTGACTTTACTAATCTCCTCTCGATTTCCTGCTTTGGAGAAGCATGTGGCGTCACCTGAATCCCTGCATCTTGTTTGATGGGCTTTTTTCTGCCGAGCTTCATTCTGAGTTTAAATCCACATGTTTCCTCCTTAACTTTGATATTATGGTTCTACTTTGGGTCATAATAGTGGTGACTGCAGATTTCCTCATTTTCTTGTTGTTTTGACTCAAATTTGTCAATAACTTCTCTGGTCTGTTTTTTTCTTCTCATAAATGTCATGTTGATCAGTAAACTCATCTGAGTGAGTTTAGTATTGGGGAATGGGAGGAAACAGCTGCCATACACTGTGTGAACCAGGGTTTATTGTTAAATATGTTTATTTACATGAGATAACCCTGTAGAGATGAAACCATTACTTAGTCTCTTCGCCTTAAATGGAACCAGTTTAGCTGCTGTTGATTTGTTTATGTTTTGGCCACTAAATTATCAGGACAAACCCTTCGGGCCACAGCGTGACATTTACGCTCTCACCAGCCTTGGGCCAACTCTGACATTTTTTATGATGAGTCTCCGTGTTTTTCATCACATATTGTGTGTGTGTGTTTAGTTTCACCAAGGTTTATGGTTTTATTAGGGTAAAACTGCCATTTTAAGCTGTAGTTTGACGATAATAGGGTTCCTCACGTACCCAGGACACATTCTTCTCAGTAGGACCTAACAAAGGCATCTGGACACTTCTCACACGTTTTAACAGATTAATAATAAAAGGGCAGAGTACCAGACTTTTAAACTGTTGTAAGTTCTTTGTTACTGCAAACTAGTTTATAAAATATTTTTATCTCCTTGAAGGATGTTGGTTCTTTCTTTGTTGTCCTCCTTCTCAGAAGAGATGACTGACGGCATCAGACTGAGCTGGGATGTAAATACTCGAAAGATAATACCTCAAACATCCATTGTTTACGGTTGTTTCTCTCCTAGGCAACCGGGGCGTGACCAAGACATCAAGGCAAGGTTCCTTGATATTGAGAAACTCGGTTTTTGTGGTTAACAGTTAAATAATTTTTTCTCGGACAGTCCTACTGTGAGACCACAGCTATTTTTTCTTTTGTTGATCTGGATCACGGACAGCTCGGCTCTGACGTGGGAATATGAAGTTAAACCTGACACGGACAAGCTATGTTCTGTTGTGTGGGTATTTTTGTGTGAGTTCTGCTCTCATAGTGGCTCGGAGGTTATGGGTGCTCATCTAATAGCATTGATCCCAACTTTTAAATAAAGCTCTGCTTTTAAACACCTGTTAATAGCCTGCAGTGCATTTTGTAATTAAATGTCAAACTAATACTTAAATGTAAATAAATAAAAATAATTGTCCCCAGCAGTCATCAAGCCACACCCACATTTACGTCTATCGTCCCAGTTTTAAAAACAAACTATCGCCCTTGCTCACAAGGCATTCATGTACACTAGAGTCCATAGCAAATGTACTGAAACAATGAGTGTATGAAGGCTTTAAAGGGTTGGTGCTTTTTCTGTTTTAACTGATAAAGTGAAACATCTTCAAGAAAAAAAAAAGTCCAGATGCTTTTGTTTGACCCTACCTGAATTTTTGCTACAGGAATAAAGTAAAGCTGACTGAAACAAGACCACTAAATCCCAAAGGTCTGTTTGTCTTTTAAATAACAAGTGAAACACAACAGTTGTAGGGAGTGCTTTTTGCTGTTGGGTCGTCCTGACAGTGGGTCCCGTGTGACGTGACTGTGGCGTCTCTGCTCTGTCCTCCCACAGTGGAAGCAGCTCAGCACACCACACTTTAATGATGCTGCAGCTTAATTAGCAGCACTTCCTTCTCAGCCCAGCCATGGTACTTCCTGTCACACCTACCACATGTCCCAGGACCCCTATACATGTTTAGCTGTATGACAGGAGATCTGGGGCGTGCAACAAAGGTCCTGTAGGAAAAGTCTGAGTTAAATAGATGTGATGTCAGCATGCCACAAATGTAGGAAAAAAACAAGAAAATTATGCTATTAAGGAGCACACGGGCAAAGGTTTCTGTCAGCTTGTCATGGTGGTTTGCTGGTTGATTCCCCCCAGTGACTCAACGCACTTTTTGAATAGCAAAAAGAAAAATCAGTTTGATGCAGATTTAAACGTGTGCAGGGACATCGAGGGACCACAAAGATCATGTAGTAAATAAAACTTTTTTGACCTTAACCAAGTGGTGAGTTTACGGTTTTGTTTCTTTAGTCTTTACATGTTGAGGATCCACTTTGTTCTGCACATTGTGTTAGAGCAAGCGGGACCCTACAGGACAGAGAACACGAGGATAAGATGGGCTGAATGTGTCAAAGACGAGTTGTAGACTTATGTTTGTTTATGTTTATTTATTTAGCAGACACTTTTATCCAAAGTGACTTACAATTTATAACCTATAGGGCATGTTGTGATCTGTGGGGGAAACCGGAGCACCCGGAGGAAACCCACGCATGCATGGGGAGAACACGCAACTCCACGCAGAAAGGCTGCAGCAGAGTTTCGAACCTGCAACCTTCGTGCTGCGAGGCAACAGTGCTAACAACTGCACCACCATGTTTTAGTTGTTGCAGCAGAAATCCAGACCTCCACCAGGCAGCATCTGCCTTCTAGATGTTTAAGTCAGGAGCTCATCTGTGTGAGGAGTTACTGCGTAGCCTCTTCCATTGTCAGACAGATGGGTGTTATTTTAGTTAGTTCAGGTAAACCATTAACGCAGGGGCGCAGATAGGATTTTCAAACTGGGGGGACATACTTCTAATGTACCCTCCCTCAAACACATGCACGTACACACACACATACTCCCACACATACACACACACACACACACACACATACACAAACTATTGCAAGCGCCTTAACTACAACTCAGTCAGTTTGTGTAATTTCATCCAACGGTTTACGTAAAAACTAACACTTTTATATACGTGTTTGAAGCCATTCTGCAACAAAGCTCTGCCTGATCAACACTATAAATGATAAATGACCGCACTTGTATAGCACCTCTCAGAGTAAGGACTCCAGAGTGTTTTACACTACAGTGTATCATTCATCCATTCACACACACATTCACACACTGATGGTGATAAGCTACAATGTAGCCACAGCTGCCCTGGGGTGCACTGACAGAGGCGCCCCACTATTTAAATCAGTCATTTGTTATTCTCCCAGTCCATTACTAACCAAAACCTCATGCTTTATGCAAAACATTAAATGATTTTCAGCGTACCAATCTTTACAGAAAACATTAAAGCCCTAAAAAACTGCACATGAAATATATTTAAAAAACAACATTCACTTATCACAGAGCAGTGGTTCCCAAACTTTTCAGCCTGACCAACAGATGTTCCTTCGTATTTTACCTTATTTATAAATTTTCATTATATTTGGAAAGTTTTAATTTATATATAAATAAATAAATCTCTTTTAAAAATGTATATTTTACTTTTTCTTGATTATGTGGCACACTTGACTTCCATACATAACGCATCGGCATCTGCCTCTTTTTACTACATTGTCGCTACGTCTGTCACGTTAGCGGTGTTAACCATAGTTTCTACATCCATCACGTCCCAGAGAAGGTTAAACCAATATCAAACCCAACGTTTGGGGCTTGTAAACTCCACACACCTCTCGTGCAGCACCAGCTGTCTGATGCTGCAGCAGCATCGATCTTCCCGGCTGGATGAGTGAATTTCTTCATCAGAGTCAATATTCTGCTTCATAATCAGAGTCAGTCATGACCAGAAAAAGTGATCAGTCAACTAAGACCAGACCTGCCGGCAATTATACGTTTGATCTAATATTTGCGCTCTTCATGCTGCACATATCTCCTCCTCTCCCCGACTGGGGGCCTCTCGGCGGGAGGCATTATTCAAGCTCTAAAAACTCCCAAACTTTGCTCAGCCTGAAGGTTCCACATCTCCACTATCTTCTGGTGTAAAGTAGTAACTTCATGAGGGATCATTTTTGTAGATGAGACTTGTTATAACGAGTAAGTCCCAACACTGACAACAACGTACTGAAACTAGAACCAACATGCATAAACAGACAGATCGGTCCCGCCTACTTACATTGTTGGTCTCTTTAAATACGCAGCAATCGTTGCCTACCCCCAACAGGGGAAAACTCTGATATACAAAAACACCTCAATATATGCATAAACTTAGACAGGTTACAACATAATCCACGAACCGTGGGTGGGAGGGGCTGGACCCCATTCACTTCTGCAGCATGCTCTCAGCCTCTGCTGGCCCAGATGTGGAGGAGGACAGAGGAGTGCACGGAGTTAATGAAAGTTTCATGACCGATCTTCCAGATCTCCCACAAGTGCACCGCAGTTCCAACAAGGACTGTGGAAGGGAGGGTTCAGAGCATCTGTCAACAGTCATTCTAGCGAGTTTGAAGTGTTCAGTCTCTAAGGCTAAGAGGAAGCCAGATTCAGGTCTAGTTGATTGTTTTGGAACAGGCCAGATACATTTTTCTCCCTGACTTCAGTTTTTGCTGGTGTCAAGGACTTCTAAATAGCTGAATAAGGGAGTTTAATTTCCACCATACCATGCAGCGACTTTCTTCATGCTGGAGTCCAATCTGCAGGCAAATTCGGGAATTGCAGACAGATTGCTGCTTGGAGCGTTTGGCTTGTAATTCATCTCGACCAAAATGTCTGAGTCTGAATGTTCAAAGAATGGCAGGTACCTTCTCTGGGCCCAGGAAAACTTTCAATTCCCCCATCAGCGCCATAGCTCTCAGAAATAGCAGACAACCGCCCACTCTCGACAGCAGGAACCCGATAATCATAAATCAAAAAAGTCACATGTCATCCGTGTCTTCCACAGAGAGCAAGGAAAGCCACATTATATTCCACTTCTTCCAGGCTCAGTCCAGATGTGAGGGAGCCCCCTTCTCTGTTTTATCGGTTGCATTCATAGACCAGCTCACCAGGTCCATGGTTTTAAAAGTTGAAGTTTTTAGAAAGAATTAGAGGAGTGCTCTGGTGGACAGAGACGGGACAATGGGCCTTGTAGTGTCTGCACTCTCCAAGAGCAGAAGAAGAAAGACAAAGGACCTCATGATTCCAGGCTCGACCCTTTCTCAGCCAGTTGTCCTGTCGTGATGAAGTACCTTCTAAGGAGCCTAAACTATTTGTAGTGATCACCTTTCCTTTACATTTTAGGTGCTTTAATCTGTTAAAAAATAAGCATCAGCAAAACGGAGAAAACTGTTCTCAACACTCATGATTTTCATTTAGACTTTCATCTTTCTTATTGATCAGTTATTTCTGGCTTGAACGGCTGCTTTTTTGTGCATGTTAGAGTGGGTTTGGGGTTTGTCTATTCTGCTCTCAGACAATGAACCAGTCCATACTCTCATGTGTAAAATGTGTGTGTTTTGTTCCAGGGGTGTGATCAACCCTGTTCCATCCACTAAGAGCAGCCGGTCTGCAGCGTTGCAGTGTGTCCACATGGCTGAAGGACACAGTAAAGCGGTTTTATGTGTCGACTGCACCGATGACCTTTTGTTCACCGGATCCAAAGGTGAACGATCCCAATCCTTGCTCCCCGCCCTCATCACTCGCCTCCTGAATCCAACTCCCACTCCTCTAATTAGCAGTCTTTGCATGTCTGCTTGCTGTTCTATAACAGCAAATAAAACCTGACAGGGATTAATAAAGATTGTCATTTTCATAGTGTGGATAAATGAGGTCATGGAATAAAGTGACATTGTGAATAGAGGGAAATTCTCAAGCTTGACGGAGCTTCTCAGCTTAGTAATGGAGGCTACATGTTGTTATTGGAGGGCTCCATTGTTCCCACCATTGCTTGTCTATAACTGATGCTGTTTTCCTCCAGACGCTTCTCATAGTGTCAGTGCTTTATGCTTTGCTGTGTGATCACTCACCCGTTACAGTTTTCTGTTGTAAATTACAATAACCGCACTGACAGACCTGTGTCCTCCTGCAGACCGGACCTGTAAGGTGTGGAACCTGGTAACAGGTCAAGAGATAATGTCCCTGGCCGGCCACCCCAACAACGTGGTGTCTGTCCGTTACAGCTCCAGTTTAGTCTTCACCGTCTCCACCTCCTATATCAAAGTCTGGGACATCAGGGACTCGGCCAAGTGCATCAGAATACTAACGTGAGCCGGGACTGGGTTTGAGCTTTTTTAAAGTAACCCTTAATTAGTTTCCTGCTACCCCCTACTAGTTGGAAGTGGAATTACAACTATTATAAACCACCCAGCCTCAGCTTGCTGTAGCTAGTGCTAACAAAGAACTAATGCTAACATGAGCCAAATAAAACTAAATAAGACACAATGTCAAAAGATCCACACTTGTTGGACCAGAAAGTCAATCCTAGCAACAAAGCCAGGTCACCATCAGTCTGTGATTTCATAGCCTCCCTCCATCCCCTTCCAGGTTCTGCCATAATGTCATCGAAAAGTAAAGCTCTTCATCTTCTTTTGCTTTTTATTGACATTTGTAAAAATGAAAACGCTAACCTTTATATTAGCTACAAGCACAGTAAACAGCTGTTGGCATAAAGCAGGTATATACCTCCAACTAGTGGTCCTAAAGGAACCACAAAACCGTTAGATTTGGATGGATGTCCAATGTGAAGTTGCACAGGTTTTTGGCTCAAGAACCACTAAAACCAGTTCAAAAGCAGTAGCTTAAAGTGTGAATTGTCTTTGGTGTTGGTTTGGTGGCACTTTAAGTATTGTAACAAATGTTTTATTCATGTGTCTCTAGGTCTTCTGGACAAGTTAACGTTGGGGACATCTGCGGGCCCAACACCAGTCGGACGGTCACCATCCCTGCAGGAGAGAACCAGATCAATCAGATTGCTCTCAACTCATACGGCACAGTTCTGTATGCAGCTGCGGGCAACTCGGTCCGAGTGTGGGATCTCAGAAGGTAACCAGAACCGATTTAACTCTGGAACATATGATGCTGGACTGGAGCGGATGGTCCTCAAAGTCAGCATGACTGAGTTTGTGTCTGCTTCACTCATCAACACGTTGAGTTAGACACATTCTTAAAGACCAATCAGAGCCGGGCCGGGGGCGGAGCAAATGACCGGGCCCTTTAAACCCATAAAGGTCATGATAGCATAATTTTAGCTGTGGCGCCTTGTGTTTGGAAACTGGGCCTTCAGTGCCAGTTTACTGACCTCATCTGACTGGCCAACTGTGAAATCTAGAGAACCTCACAACGGCCGTGTTGGCGTTCCCCCCACCCCGCCTGTCGGAGATCCCCTCAGCTGCAGGAACGTCCAGCATCCCACCCAGTGCTTCAAGAGGACCAGTACGGCCATTTCTAATTTTGAGTTATTCTGGTTATTTATCAGTCAACCTACATAATCCAAAAGTATGAAGCAGCTGGGATGAGAATCAGTTCCTCTAAATATGAGACCATGGTCTTGATTCAGAAAAGGGTAGAATGCCTTCTCCAGGTCAGGGATGAGGTCCTGCCCCAAGTGGAGGAGGTTAAGTATCTCGGGGTCTTGTTCATGAGTGATGGAAAACTGGAGCCTGAGATCGATAGGCGGATTGGTGCTGCATCTGCAGTGATGCGGGCGTTGTACTGATCTGCCGTGGTGAAGAGAGAGCTGAGTTAGAAGGCGAAGCTCTCCATTTACCGGTCGATCTACATTCCTACCCTCACCTATGGTCACGAGCTTTGGGTAGTAACTGAAAGAACGAGATCGCGGATACAAGGGGCCGAAATGAGTTTTCTCCGCAGAGTGGCTGGGCTCTCCGGGAGGGGCTCGGAGTAGATCTGCTGCTCCTCCACATCGAGAGGAGCCAGTTGAGGTGGTTCGGGCATCTGTTCAGGATGCCTCCTGGATGCCTCCCTGGTGAGGGTTTCCAGGCATGTCCAACCGGGAGGAGACCTAAAGGTAGACCCAGGACACGGTGGAGGGACTACGTCTCTCACCTGGCCAGGGAACGCCTTGGGATTCCCCCGGAGGAGCTGGCCCAAGTGGCTGGGGAGAGGGAAGTCTGGGCCTCTCAACTTAGGCTGTTGCCCCGCGACCCGACTCCGGATGAATGGAAGAGAATGGATGGATGAACTCATAAACACTAGAGAACACTGGAAATGTATTGAATAAATGAGTAAACCACAGCTTTATGTAATAGATGCAAATGGACTGCTTCTCTTTCGTTTCCACAGAGCACGTACCACTTTTCTTAGTTAGGATTTTCATTTTTATTAATGAGTTTCTAACTTGGACTCTTGTTTTCCAATCAATTCTTCGTCTCATCATTCTGTCAGTCACATTTCCTCCCCAGTTCTCTCGTCCTTTAATCTCACGTCTGGTCTCTGTTCTGCACTGTGAAGGATTTAATTCAGAGTGAAAACTTGACAGGAATTCCATTCCCAGCATCTATCAGTTTCTGTCAGCTAGTGGCTGCTGCTTTTGATAAATTACCTTTTTATTTATCTTAGAAAAAAACACTCTGGATGAGG